AAAAGTTGTGGTTCATACATGTAAGCAGGGTAACGCGAATGTTGGCAGACACGTCGAGAGGTACGCGGAGATTTAGGTACACATCTACATAGGGAATTGTTACACCACCATGAGTAACTTATTTTTACGGCATGAAGTTGTAAGGGGTGTTTACGCTGGTGTGTTGGTACGGCGGCGTGCGTTGACGGAGTTTTGGGTGGCGAACCCGATACAGTGTTTGGGACTGAGGTAGCGAAGTAGAAAGTCATGCAGAAGCTTGCCTTTGGAAGGATGGTGTGGAGGAACTACTGAGTGGTGCGTTGGACACGGAGGTTGTGGAGCATTGGACGTTGCGTTGCATGTGGAGGGCGTGGGGTAGAAGGTCGATTCACAGTGACGCCCAGGAAAGGAGGCGTGGACTACGGGGCGGCGCATTGGACACGGAGGCTGCATGGGAGGTCAGAGGTGTATTGGAAACGAGGATGCGGAGCCCAAGGGAATTTCCAAGCCACACCGTGCATCCGCAAGACGTGGCACCCGACGAGAATGCGGAATCGCATGCGTCTCTCGACCCGAAAATCATGCCTGGGCGGGTCGGGTGGGCAGGTTGGCTGGTTGGCGGACGGACGGGTGGTTACGCAAGCGAGCGGGCGGACCTTCACGGGCACTCTAGACGGGCGGGCCCTACCAGGTGGGTTGGGCGGGCGGGTGCTAGCGGGCGGGTCGGGCGAACGTTCGAGCAGTTCGTCGGCGATCGACGGCGGCGGGGGTGTCCAGTGGCAGCAAAGTTGTCGCACAGCTAAGCGCTTCGTCGATTGGACGATCGTCGGAAAATGCGGCAGCGACGCACGCGCTGAAAGCCCTGAGGGTGGACACGGGAAGATTCACCGTCGTGATCCGCGCTGCGCGTCATTAATCTGAACTGCGCGATGCATACTGACGCCCAGATCGCGAGTACGGAGGTGGCGGACAGCACTGGTGTCAAGGGGTTCCATAAGACGGGGGGCCGCACACCTGGGGCAAATTTGACTTATGGAACAGGGGTAGGGAGCGTCTACACCGTTCAAGATGGGCAGGTAACCGTGGACCGCGACAGGCGAGAGGTGAAGGCGGGCCGCTTCAGTGTGTTGAACTGTTTCAGTGGAGGTCTTGGTGAGCCCATCTCGTGAGGCAGCATGCCCGTGAAAGAGGACCGATTTTCCAAAAAACAATGCTTGCATTTAGGGGGCTCTTATCTCTCCTCTAAGGAACTGGGCCTGTCCGCCAGTCTGGCGGCTATGTGGCCGCCGTCGCCGCCCCCTCGCAGCCTCCTCGCCGCCCGTCGTCTGGGATTGTCTGCCGGTCTGGCTGCTATGTTGCCGCCGTCGCCGCCCCGTCGCCGCTTTGTCGCCGCATGACTTGCGCACCACGTAGATTGTATCACTTAGATTGCACAACCTTGATAGCACAACGTAAATTGCACACCATTTATCGGACCACATGGGTTGCACAACGTGGACTGCACAACAGACATTGCACAACACACATTGCACCACGAAGACTGCACGGCATAGATTGCACAACGCAGATTGCACAACATAGGTTGAACCACCTATCTCGCACCACATCGATTGCATCGCATAGATTTGCGCACAACATACATTGCACTACATACTTTGCACATAATATATATATATATATATATATATATATATATACTTATATAGTGTGTGCATCATACATTGCACCGCATACACTACACAATCTAGATTGAAAAAGATCGGTTTCACAACATATGCTGCGCAACACAAATTGCACTACACACATTGCACGGCATAGATTGCACAACACAGACTGCGCACCACATCTACATTGCACCACATTGATTTCACAACGGAGGTTGCAACACATAGACTGCACCACGTCGATTACATCGCATCGGTTGCTCACCACATAGACTGCACCACACAAATTGCACCACATAGATTGCTCGAGATGGACTGCTAGAAAAAATGATGTCTGGGGCCCGCGCCGGTCAACATCGGTTTTCGAAGGCCGACATACTGGCCGCGCCGTCGGAAGTCCACAGCGTCGCGCTGACCACCTTGGAGGCGGCAGGCGTGGAGAGCGCAAGCCCGGGCAAGAGGAGGACGCTGGCGCTGTGCGGCAGGCGGGAGGCGCCGACGTCAGCGTCTTCGCTTGGGCCGAAGCTGCAGACCACGTCGGGGGTACGCGCCTCAATGGCTTCGATCGGGTGCGTCCGATGTCTTAAGTACACAAACTTCAGGGGCAGAAAAAAAACGCCCCTACCATGGTTTACGAGGCGCTGTGCGCTGAAGCTCCTGTGGGCTGAGTGGGTAAACCCTGCGTGATGTGCCGCGTCCTGGCGTCCTCTAGGCTCTGGGGGTTCCCGGGAGGTTTACAGACCACACACTTGTAACCCAGGGTAGGGTCGTTTTTTTTTCATCCCTCAAAACTGCAAGTCGAATGGGTCCGCGGCGTCGAGCACGGTGCAACGAACGAGCCCAGTGTTTGCGGAAGCGGGCGACGTGCCTCCGGAGGCAAGCGACGCGCGTCTTGTGGGAGGGCTCAGGGAGGGGCGCGCGGCGGAAGCCAGGTGGCGGGCGCTGCGGTTCGCGCGGCCCCGCACGCCAGGCGTGGAGCGACGTTTGGCATCGCTCGGACGTGTGCATCTTTCCGTCGGCGAGGACCATCGAGGAGCATCCCTGATCAGTTGGCGAAAAGACCACGCACGACACCAAGAAAAACAGGGAATGGACGTCCGAGCGATGGCCAGCATTGGGCACGATGGTTCCGATGCGGCTCCTCCTCCTCCTCCTCCTCCTCCTCCTCCTCCTCCTCCTCCTCCTCCTCCTCCTCCTCCTCCTCCTCCTGGCAGCCCCAAGGGAGTGGGGCGAGGTCCTGCCTGGCGGCCGGGGCGCCGGAGCGGCAGGCGCGCGGAGCGAGCGCGCGCTTCGCCCCTGGACGGCACAGGGGAGACCTCCTCCTCCTCCTCCTCCTCCTCCTCTCCTCCTCCTCCTCCTCCTCCTCCTCCTCCTCCTCCTCCTCTGCCCCGGGTTTCTGGCTTCCGATGGTTTGGCGATGGAACGCGTGACGCTCCCACGCCAAGAAGACCATGGGCGTCTCGGAGTCTCAGGGTCGGGTGGCTCGTGGGAGGTTTCTGGTGGTCGAGTCGAGCTCCTGCTGTGAAAGCCATCGCTCGGGCACGGCGCAGCCGCACACGCTCGCGAGTCGCGGCCAGCGCTCCGGTCAAGCTCAGAAGCCGGGCAAGGGCTGCTAAATCCGTGGCTGCTAAAATCGACCTCCGGGAAGTTGTCTTCGTCCTTCCGGGAAGAAGCCCGTTGACAGTTTCGCGTGCCGTGCCTCATTCCGGGAAGTTGTTTTTTCCTGCCGGGAGGGCCGTTTTAGCAGCCACGGTTTTAGCAGCCTTCGCCCAGCTTCCGACAAGCGCTGGACCCCCTGGCAGCGAGCAGCCCCGCGGGTGGGGAGCCCCGCGCCCTCCCGGCGGGCGCAGCTGCGACCTGCGGTTCGACCGCACAGAGCAGGCGGACGCGCGGAGGGTCATGCAGCCGCCCGAGCCGAGGCGCAGGCGGGCCACCCTCCCAATGAGTGCCCCTTGAAAGTCCTCCTCCTCCTCCTCCTCCTCCTCCTCCTCCTCCTCCTCCTCCTCCTCCTCCTCCACCTCCCACTCCCTCCTCCTCCTCCTCCTCCTCCTCCTCCTCCTCCTCCTCCTCCTCCTCCTCCTCCTCCTCCTCCTCCTCCTCCTCCTCCTCCTCCTCCTCCTCCTCGTCCTCCGCGCAGGCACGCGCGCGCGACCTTGTTCGACCAGTATTCGGAGCGCGCGTGGGTCCACATCAGTTCGGCGAGAAAGGGTGCCTTGATCAACTGGGCGCGCGGGCGTCGACGCGCGTCGACGGTGGCAGGGGCGCGGCGAGAAGAGAATTCTCTGCCATGGATGTCTCGTTCACTGGCCCCCCAGTGGAAGCGGCGCCAGGCAGTCCATGCTGCGCCGGCCATGGAGGCGGACAAGACCGCCGCCGCAATTCGCAGGTAGGCGGTCAGCTGCCCCCCAGGACGCACTGGCAGCGCAAGCGTGAATCATGACCTTCCGGGACCCCCTCTGCGCAAGCACATGCAATCATCCTCTTTTACCACGGAAAGTGCAAAAAGACATGCGCCCCACGGATTAGCCATTCAAGCGAGAGCTTCAGTTTGAAGAGGATCCGCCCACCATGTTTCTACATTATGATTTAATGGTATGGAGGATCATTACGTTAAAGGGCGTATCCAGCGAGGCGCCCATTTTGAAATGGAGTCGCCCTCCACGCGCATGACTGTTTTACAATGTTCAACGTCTCTCAAAAAATGAGCCCCGGCGAAGGTCAATTTCAAGTGGGACCGCCATCTACTCGTGTAACCGCGGCACAACGTTCAATGTAAGTCTCAAGCGAAGGTCCAATTTTGAAAAGGAACTTGAATCCGTGCATGTGTATGAATCTTTGGGAAACAAACAAAAAATATTAAGAAAACATAAAATCATACACGGTGTGCGCAGCGCCAAGGCGACAGCCACATTTTGAAAACAACACGGCTCCACCCGTGTAATTGCTCGAAACGCTGAGGATGATTGCGCACGGTGTGGAGGCGAGAACCAGATGTTGAAAACGATGCGCCGTCCATACGTGCAGTTGTTGGAGTTCCAAGTTTCAAGATCATACATGGTGATGAAGTCTCCGGCGAAACGCACGGCCCGCCCCATCGATTGGTTTTTTGGTGGCGCGACGAGGAGTTGATAATAAAGAAGAAGGATGGAGGAGGAGGAGGAGGAGGAAGAGGAGGAGGAGGAGGAGGAGGGAGGGAGATCAGGAGGAGGAGGACGACGAGGAGGCGGGGGAGGGGCAGTAGGCAAGAGGAAGACGTTGAGGGAGACGGCTGACAACGAGTGAGACGAGCAGCAGAGGCAACGGAGACGAGCGGCAGGGGCGGGGACGAGGTGGGAGGAGGCGTGCGCTGATCCCCAGATGGATGAGCCACCTCAGCGAGCACGGGATCGACCCGATGATGTATTTGCCCCAGGCGCCGCGGCATCCCCCCACCGCTCCCCCGCGGTGGAAAAGGGGGGCGCGAGGGGGCGAGGGGACCAGGGAGCTCAGGGCCCAGACATCTGACGTCGTGATGTTTTTCTCAGCGTGGCTCCCCCGAGGTCTGGACCCGTTCCCTGGACCCAGCTTTTCATCTTAAGTTGTCTTTCGGTAGTTAAGCTTTGCCTTCGGGATTCTCACCTGTTTGTGAAGAAGCCGGTGAGTGCCGGACCTGATCGCGCCGGGGTTCCTCTAGGTTGTTCGGTTTCTTTGTTTCCTTAAAAAGGGGTTCCTCGGGGTTTCCCCGTAGACCTTGCCCCAGCTCCTGGGTATTGGTTCCTTGGTGCGTTGGTCTTGGTTCCTTGGCTCTTTGGTCGTGGTTTCTTTCTTTACTGGTCTTGGTTCCTTGGTTCATTGGTCTTGGTTTCTTGGCTCCTTGGTCTTGGCTCCTTGGTCGTTTGGTCATGGCTCCTTGGTTCCTTGGCCTTGGTCCCGTGCTGCCTTGCCACGCAATGCAAAGCAATGCCAGGCAATGCTACGTAATGCCATACTTAGTGCCCCGCAACGCCAAGCCTAACGTCAAGCAAGATGCCAGGCAATGCCGCTTGGTGCCAAGCACTATGCCCATGCAAAAGGAAGCTTTCCCCTCATCGGGGTCGCGCCCGGTTCATTTGACGGCCCATGGGTTCCGTGAGGCCCCCTTGAGGCCAAAAATTAGCAGGAATGTCCCTCCTGATATCCCACAACGAGAGGGCGACGGAGGGGGGGAGGGGGCATCCACGGGGAGGGGAGCACGCTTTTTCCGAGCATGGTCTTGCTTTCCTCAGCGTCAAGACCGGCGTGGCAATTTCGACTGACCGATCGTGCAACGGGTTAGTCCTCCGCAACCTTCGTTCTCAGCGCGTCAGCGGAGTCATCACCAAAGACGCCGTCCATGTTGAAAAGGAACTTCAATCCGTGCATGTGTATGAGGCTGTGGGAAACAAACAAAAAATATAACGAAAACATTGTTATTATATATTATCTGTATATATATATAGAAACACACACATACACAAAAAAAAGCCGCAAAGAGTTGCTATCTGTCGCAAACTCGGCGGTCGGTCGCGCGAGCCCGTCGGGCGAAGCAGGGTTGCCGCAGAGTTGCACTGTGCACGGAGCGGCGAGGAGTGGGCGAGCGGCGGCCGCAGAGGAGCGGAAAAGGAAGGCGGACCCCTCCCAGACGTTTTTTTGGTCTGCGGGTCGGGAGCGGGCCCCTTCCGGTCAAGAACTAGGCGGGCCGCGAGTAGCCCTAAGTGGGGAGACAGGGCGCGGGCGGGCGGGGCCTCAGGCGGCGGGAGGGCTCAGAATACAGGCGGTGCCGAAGATCTTGCACAGGACAAGGTACGCCATGGACTGGAGCAGGGGGCGCGGGACCCCTCCCAGACATGCGGCGTCTCGATTTTGTCAACACGGGGTCCCCAGACGTCCCGACCCGTGCCCCGGGTCCGGCGTTTCATCCCAGGCCGTTTTTGGACGGCCCCCGGGTCTCAGCGAGAGGCCCTGGAGGTCGAAAACAAGCATTTTAACATAAAACGAAATGTTCCCCCCAAACAACACAAACAACAACAACAACAACAACAACAACAACAACAACAACAACAACAATCAGTTTAAGACTGATCGCTCTTATCTGCTCGAGTGTCCGTTACCGCGTATTTCCCAAACCCTCGATACCCACCCTCTTCATCTTCGATCGTACCCCTTTTGGGGGGTATACTTGTCTTCCCTGCAGGCCTGGCCCCTGCAAGCGGCGGGGCAGCCGCGGACCGTCGGCCTGGTCAGCAGCAGCGCTGATCGGCGGCAACCCGACCCCAAGAGGGACGGACAGGGGACCGACCACGACGACGACGACGACGACGGCGTCGACGACGACGACGTCGACGACGACGACGGCGACGACGACGACGACGAGCGAAAGCGAGAGCGAGAGAGAGAACGACAGCAGGGCCACGAAGGGCACGAAGTAGGCCACGAAGGGCAACAGCGGGGACACGAAGGGAATGCATATTGGGCCACGAAGAGCGCGAACGAGCGGGGGCCGCGAAGGCAGATAATGCGGGGCCACAGAAGGCAACGACGGGGCCACTGAGGGTAGCAACGGGGCCACGTAGGACAGCGAGGGGGCCACGAAGGGCGACAGCGGGGCCACGAAGGGCTGCACAAGGGGCCACGACGGGCGCGAACGAGCGGGGGCCACGATGGGCATACGTATATTGGGCCGCGGAGGGCAAGTACAGGGCCACTGAGGGCTGCAACGGGGCCACGAAGGCAGCGCGGGGGCCAGAAATGGCGACAGCGGGGCCACGAACGGCACGCACATGGGGCCACGACGGGCGCGAACGAGCGGGGACCACGAAGGGCATACCTATCTGAGGCCACGAAGGGCAGCGAGGGGGCCACGAAGGGCTGCAACGGGGCCACGAAGGGCAGCGAGGGGGCCAGGAAGGGTTGCAACGGGGCCACGAAGGGCAGCGAGGGGCCACGAAGGGCTGCAACGGAGTCACGAAGGGCAGCGAGGGGAGCCACGAAGGGCTGCAACTGGCCCACGAAGGGCAGCGAGGGGGCCACGAAGGGTTGCAACGGGGCCAGGAAGGACAGCGAGGGGGCCACGAAGGGTTGCAACGGGGCCACGAAGGGCAGCGAGGGGGCCACGAGGGGCTGCAACGGGGCCACGAAAGGCAGCGAGGGGGGCCACGAAGGGCTATGACGGGGCCGCGAAGGGCAGCGAGGGGGCCACGCAGGGCTGCAACGGGGCCAGGAAGGACAGCGAGGGGGCCACGAAGGGTTGCAACGGGGCCACGAAGGGCAGCGAGGGGGCCAGGAAGGGTTGCAACGGGGCCACGAAGGGCAGCGAGGGGGCCACGAAGGGCTGCAACGGAGTCACGAAGGGCAGCGAGGGGGGCCACGAAGGGCTGCAACGAGCCCACGAAGGGCAGCGAGGGGGCCACGACGGGCTGCAACGGGGCCACGAATAGCAGCGAGATCCCGATTCTTACATAATCTGCGAGGGAGTCCCAAGCGTGAGCGCGACTCCTGGGTGCCTGGGTGTCGGGAGCGCGGCGCTTGAGTAAGTTGCGGCAAATGCCAACACAAGGCCGCTACTCTTGAGTAAATTACAAGCAAGGCTCCAGCGAGAGCGCGGCTCCAGAGCACCGAGAGAGCGACTCCTAAGTAAACGCAAGGAAGTCCCAAGCGAGAGCGCGATTCCTGAATAAAATGCGAGGAAGTCTCAGGCGGGAGCGGGGGTCCTGGCTAAATTGTGAGGAAGTCTCCGGCGGGGGCCGTTGTTGTTGTAACCCGGGGGCGAGGGGCACATTTGGAGCCCCAAGACGTTTTTATTATTATTATTATTATTATTATTATTATTTGTTTGAAACAAAAAAGTGCGAGCGCCTGGAGGGTCACTTCATGCGGAAAAACAATGTGCACCGGAGGGGGGATCAACAATAGTTATTCTTCCGTAGTGAGAGATCAACAATAACAGCAGCAACGACAACAACAATCATCATAATAGTGTTCGCTCTTACTTGCCCGTGTGTCATTCAAAACGAGTTCCCCGCACCCTCGATACCTTCCTTTTTGTCTTCGATCACACCCCTTTTGGGGGGATTCCTTCTCTTTGCGGGAGGCGGCGGGCTTAGACAGGCGGGCAAACATGAACGGGCGGACAATCCTTCGTGGGCGTACATGCGCCCGCCTTTGGAAGTGGTGTGCGCCCTGCAAAAAGAGGAGGGGGAGAACGAGGGTGAGTGGGAGGAAAGGAGGAGGAGGGACGAAGGAAGAGGGAAAACGCCAAGAGAGAAGGAGCGAAGGGGGGGCGGTTGATTAGAGGCAGAGAGAGAGAAAGAGAAAAAAAAAAATGCTGAGAGGTAGAGAAAGAAACAAAAAATGGAAAGAGAGAGAGAGAGAGAAAAAGAAACAATGAAGGAGGGAGGAAGCAGGAGAGGGGAGGGAGAAGGTTGGAGGGAGAGGAGGGAGAGGGGATAGGGCAGAGAGGCATAAGGATGAGGGAAGAGAGGAGGGAGAGAGAAGGGAGGAGAGGAGGGAGGAGGGAGGAGGGAGAGGGAGGAAAAGCAGGAAGTAACAGCGTGAACGTTCGAGGAAGTCCTAGGCGAAAGCGCCGTTCCTGAAGGAAGTCTCGGGCGGGAGCCCACGACGGGCGGGCGATCCCCTGAAGGGCGGGTCGGGCGGGTGGGACAGTCAAGCGGGATGCCTGAGTATGGCGAGAGCGCGATTATGAAGTAAATTGTAACGGCGTCCATGGCGCAGCGTGTTTCTTGACCGTCGCAAGCGCGATCCCTGAATACATCGCATGGAAGCCACAGGCGAGAATGCAGCTCCTGAGTAAGGTGTGAGGGGCTCTCTGTTGGGAGCGGGGGTCTTGATTACATTGCGAGGAAGTCTTGATTCAATTGCGAGGAAGTCTCAAGCGGGAGCGCCGTTCCTGAGTAAATTGTGAGGAAGTCTCAGATGGGAGCGGGGGTCCTGACTAAATTGCGAGGGAGTCACAGGCGGGAGCGCCGTTCCTGAGTAAATTGTGAGGAAGTCTCAGGAGCGGGGGTCCTGAGTAAGCTTGGAGGAACTCTCAGGCGGGAGACGTTGTTGTTGTAATCCGGGGGGCCAGGGGCCCAGTTTGATCAGGGAGATTTTCCCTGACAAAAAACGGGGTGCGAGCGTCGAGGGGCACACTTTGATTTAAAAAAAAGAAAAATGCACCGGTGACGGGGGATCAACAATAATTGTTCTTCAGAAATGAGAGTTCAACAACAACAACAACAACAACAACAACAACAACAACAACAACAACAACAATTACTAGCACGTGGGGACACTCCGTTCTCACCAGTGCCAGGGTTTTCATAGGAGGCGGGCAATACCCCCACTTTGTGGGGGGGCCGGTTCAAGCTCTACCAAATTTCCAAACGACTCTTCGCCACCACCCACACCCAGCTTCCCGCCCTATGACGTTCGGACACTTCACTTCGTGGCATGCGGACGACCGTGGCTACTATTCAGGGCCCCGCGGCCGACGACGACGGCGTGCGCGCGCGAAGAAAAAACGAATGTGTCCCGCATGGTATTATTTGACAGGGATGATGGCCCTGGCAGGTGCGCAACCGTTGTCGCAGAAGTTCGAAAAAGTTGCTCGCAAAAGCCCGTTTGACAGAAATGTTTAAAAAGTGTTGGGTTTCCTACGAATCCGCAAGAGCGCGCGGGATGAGATTTTGACATTTTTTTGTTGAAAAACCATTGGTTTTTTGATGTTTTTATGTTAAAATCGCTGCGAACACTAAGGTTTTGGAAGGATTTCGTCTTGCGCGCGCGAATGTCCACTTTACCTTATTTTTTGCAAGGGATTCTTGAAATTTGATTATATTAGAACAAGAAATGTCATTTTCTATTGTTTTTTGCAAGGGAAAGCGGATTACAACAAAACAACCGGATCCTGTACACACCCTCTTTTCTGAGGCTTCCTCACGAAAATGATGAAAATGTAGCTGCGGCCTAGGCGGCGCAGGGGGGGCGCGCACCAGGGGGCCCAACAATAATTATTCTTTAGAATAAATAATGTTCAACAACAACAACAACAACAACAACAACAACAACAACAACAACAACAACAACAACAACAACAACAATATCAACAACAACGACGACGACGACGGCGACGACGACGACAACAACAGCAAACTGTTCGCCCTTATCTGCTCGAGTGTCCAATAACGCCTGTTTCCCAAATAACGCCTATTTCCTACACCCTCGATGCCCGCCCTTTTCGTCTTCGATCGAACCCCTTTTGGGGGGTATACTTTTCTTCCCTGCACGCCGGGCCCCGGCAAGCGGCGGGGCGGCCGCGGACCGTCGGCCTGGCCAGCGGCAGCGCTGATCGGCGGGGCGGCCGTGGACCGTCGACCCGACCTAAAGAGGGACGGACAAGGGACCGACCACGACGACGACGACGACGACGACGACGACGACGACGACGACGTCGACGAAGACGACGGCGATGACGACGACGGCGACGACGACGACGAGCGAAAGCGAGAGCGAGAGAGAGAAAGTACACGAAGTAGGCCACAAGGGCCACAAGGACAGGGCCACAAGGACACGAAGTAGGGCCACGAGAGACAGCAGGGCCACAAGGACACGAAGTAGGCCACGAAGGGCAACAGCGGGGACCCGAAGGGAATGCGTATGGGGCCACGAAGAGCGCGAACGAGCGGGGGCCACGAAGGGCAGATAATGCGGGGCCACAGAAAGCAACGATGGGGCCACTGAGGGTAGCAACTGGGCCACGTAGGACTGATACATATGGGGCCACCGCGGGCGCGAACGAGCGCCACGAAGGGCAGCGAGGGGGCCACGAAGGGATGCAACGGGGCCACGAAGGGCAGCGAGGGGGCCACGAAGGGCTGCAACGGGGCCAGGAAGGGCTGCGACGGGGCCACGAAGGGCAGCGAGGGGGCCACGAAGGGCTGCAACGGGGACACGAAACAAAGCGAGGGGGCCACGAAGGACTGCAACGGTGCCACGAAGGGCATCGAGGGGGCCACGAAGGGCTGCAACGGGGCCACGAAACAAAGCGAGGGGGCCACGAAGGGTGGCAACGGGGCCACGAAGGGCAGCGAGATCCCGATTACTATGTAATCTATGAGGGAGTCTTAAGCGTGAGCGCGAGTCCTGGGTGCCTGGGTGTCGGGAGGGCGGCGCTTGAGTAAATTGCAGGAAATTAAAACGCAAGGGCGCTATGCTTCAGCACATTGCAAGCAAGTCTCCAGCGAGAGCGCGATTCCAGAGCGCCGGGAGAACAAATTCTAAGGAAGTCCCACGCGAGAGCGCGATTCCTATATAAAACGCAAGGAAGTCTCGGGCGGGAGCGGGGGTCATGGCTAAATTGTGAGGAAGTTTCAGGCGGGAGCCGCTGTTGTTGTAAACCGGGGGCCGACGACACAGTTTGACGCTCAAGATTTTCCTCGATAGGACACAGGGTGCGAGCCCCGGGAAGGGCACTTCAATAGGAAAAAGCAATGTGCACCGGACGAGGGGGATCAACAATAATTATTCAACAACAGCAACAACAACAACAGCAACTGCAATTGCAACTGCAACTGCAACAACAACAGCAACAACAACAACAACAAAACGTCGCATCACAATGCGAGCACGCTTGGGCTTGGACCACGCCGCAGAGAGCAGCACGCCCACGGCGCCCCCCACGCAGGAGAAAGAGGCGCCCGCTGCAGAGAAACGCAAGGCGCCGTCGCGTCGAAGCAACGGTTGCGGCAGAGCCTGCGCGCAGAGAACGCCGCCATCCGGGACGGGGTCGTCGACGAGGCTGCGCTCGAAGCAGCGGAGCGCGAGCAGGGGTCACCCGGAGAGCTGGAGAGCCAGAAGACGAACCGCGCGTCCTCTCGGAGGCAGAGCTGCGCGCGCGGACCCCTCTGACCCACGCCGCGCCCCACACACACACACACACACACACACACACACACACACACACACACACACACACACACACACACACACACAACTCGCGAGGCGGCTGCCCTCGCGAGGGGCCGCGCGCAACCGCCCTCCCGCCCCGCTCGGTCTTCCAGGCGGGCGGCCCGCGTAAGTTTCGCCTGGTGCCCGCCCGTGGGCGCTTCGTGGGCGCCCCGGGGAGCGTTTGGGGGTGCCTGGGTTCGTTTATGTGTGGCCAGGAACGCCTGGCAGCGCCTGGGGGCGCTTGGGAAACGCTTCGGAACGCCTGGGAGCGCTTGAGCTGCCGCGCCAGAGGGGGGGAGGAGGAGGAGGAGGAGGAGGAGGAGGAGGAGGAGGAGGAGGAGGAGGAGGAGGAGGAGGAGGAGGAGGAGGAGAGGAGGAGGCCGCCGCGTCCTCTCGCTCGATTGGGAGGGGAGACGCGCCCGCTGCGGGGGCCCGCGGGGGCAGGCGCCGCGAGCCGAGGGCGCGCACGCGACGCCGGGATCCGGACAGCGCCTGGCGGGCAGGTGCGCACACGGGGCCTTGGCGGACGGGCGGGTGGCCTCCTCCTCCTCCTCCTCCTCCTCCTCCTCATCCCTCCTCCTCCTCCTCCTCCTCCTCCTCCTCCTCCTCCTCCTCCTCCTCCTCCTCCTCCTCCTCCTCCTCCCTCCTTCCTCCTCCTCCTCCTCCTCCTCCTCCCTCCTCCTCCTCCTCCTCCTCCTTCTTCTTCTCTTCGCCCTAAGTGGGACGCTGAACCCAGCGCCTCGGGCAGAGGCGGGTGGAAGAACTCAGCCCAAGTGGGGGCCCCAAGTAGGGGTGTCCGGCAGTGGGGCAAGTGCCCCCGCACGTGCCCTGTCCATGGGGGGCCCGTCGCGCAAGTTGGCGACACTGTTGGGGGCCCCCATGGAACCCGTGCCTGCCGTGTCACCTCCTCGATGTCCCGGAAGGTGCCCTGGAACAGCGTCGCCGCCACCCTCCACCTCCCACAATACCTGCCTGGGCGTAACCCATCTCGCCTGCCACATACCCCGCATGGACAACCGTGCGCACACGCACCCGCACGCACACCAACCACACGACACACACACACACACACACACACACACACACACACACACACACACACACACAGAACGCGCACACAGGGGCACACGCGCGCGCACACCATGAAGCAAGGCGCGCGTTTCAACCCACAACAGCGAACCATGAAAAAGTGCGATCCATGATAAAGTTGGCCCACCTAGTAACTAGGAGGGCCGGCGCGCGCGGCTCCTGGAGCGGCGGCGCACGCGCCGCGCGCGCGCGGCCGCTGGCGGGGCCCCCAGGCGCGGCGGGGCCGCCCGGGCTGCCGGGGCCCCCGGGCGCGGGGGGGCCTCCTGCATGGGCTAGCAAGGCCCCCCGGCGCGGCGGCACCGCCCGAGCCAGCGCCGGCAGCGGGGCCCGCCGGCGGGGCGGCACCGCCCGGGCCAGCGCCGGCGGCGGGGCCCCCGGCGGGCGCGAGGGCTGGGGGCGGCTGCACAGCGAGAGCAGCTGGACCCGGAGGGGCCGCGCCCTGCGCGTGGCCACCAGCCCACGGCGCGGTCCAGTTCTGGACCGCGCCCAGGAGTGCCGCCTGCATCCCCAGGGACCCCGAGAGTGTGATCTTGCCTTGCCGGAGCCAGCAGGACACGCACCCCCCGCCCTCGGCGGGGCGGATGGCCACGCCGATCTTCTGCCCGTGCGAGCCGTACAGGAAGAAGGCCTGGCCAGAGTGGCGGTACAGCGGCTGGCCCCGAGGGTACGTGGCCGCAAGACGCAGGATTTCCACGTCGGTCAGAGCCCGCCCGTCGGCGCGTGGTAGAATGCGCCGCTGCGTGGACTGCCCGCCGCCACCAGCCGCTGGGGCCCGGCGAGAGCGGCGGGAGGCACCACTCGGCACGGGCGGCAGCTGCCCGCCCAATACGGGAAGGTCCGTGGGCAACGCAGCGCCTGCAGAGGCGTGCCAGGGCGGCGGCGCACTGGGTGCACCCGCAGCCGGCGCGGCAGCAGGCAGCGCGGGACCGGGGCCGCCAGGGCCACTCGCAGCGCTTCCACCCGAGCTCGCCGCCGCAGCTCCGCCCGAGCTATGGCCCGCGGCGCCCGCAGCCGGCACCGCGGCAGGCTGCAAGGGCCCGGGGCCACTGGCGCCATTCGCGGCGCCTCCACCCGAGCTCGCCACCGCAGCTCCGCTCGAGCTATAGCTCGCGGCGCCAGCAGCCCAGCGCTGCCCTACGGCGCGGAGAGCAGCAGCGGCACCCTGCGCCGAGCCCCCGTACACCACCACCAGGGCCTCGGCGACGACAGGGTCCAGGAAGTCGGCCCCGAGCAGGAGGGTGTGGACCACCTCCGCCAGGCCCACCGGGCGCCCCGGCCGCCCGAAGAGGGCAGCGGCCGCCAAGGCAGCAGGCGCAGCGTGCCCAGGCGCGGCGGCGGCCAAGGACCGCAGAGCAAAGACGAGATCCGAGGAAGGCACTGCGGATGCACCCGCGAGCCCTTGCACCAGGCCGGCGAAGGGCGGGCCCAAGGACGCATGAGCAAGACAACCTGCCAAGGTCTCCGCTGGCAGGAAACCGACCGCGGCCAGGAGCGCCGGAGAGAAGGCCCAGTTGCTGGCGCCGCGGTGCGAAGGCAAAGTGCTCGCAGCGGCCGCCGCCAGCGATGAGCTGGGAGGCCCCTCGCTACCCGCCGCGTAGCCGCCGGCGTTTTGGGCGCCAGGCGAAGCCGGGGGCTCCTGTGCCAAAGGCGAGCCAGGCGACGCCGAGGACGACGACGAGCTGGACGAGGGTAGAGCATCGGTGTGCAGGAAAGCCCCAAAGACCGGCGGCGGCACGGAAGCTTCCGCCGGACCGCCGGCTCGGCCGGCTGATGGCCCGGGGCTATGGCGGACCCGACGGAGAACACTGGGTGGCCTGGCTCCCCCTCCTCCTCCTCCTCCTCCTCCTCCTCCTCCTCCTCCTCCGCCTCCTCCTCCTCCTCCTCCTCCTCCTCCTCCTCCTCCTCCTCCTCCTCCTCCGCCTCCTCCTCCGCCTCCTCCTGCTCCCATCCCCCTCCCATCCTCTCCTTCCTGCTCCTCATCATCCTGTCCTCATCCCCATCACCCTCCTCGGAGGAGAAGGAGGAGAGGGAAGACGGGGGCAAGCGTCGGGGGTGTCTCTGCTGGCTCGGGCGGGCCCCGAGGGGGTTCCTCAGGGAGCGGCGCGGCGCCGAGGGGGCGCCGTGCCAAGGCGTTTGTCGACGCTTGCGGCCGTGCCTTCGCGGCGCTGCATGGCGTCGTCGAATGGGCGGGTCGGCCCAGACGCTGCGTGGCCGCCGCGCAGCTGCCCGACGGGAGGAAAAACAAAATTATCCCGGCAAAGCAACCTAACAGCGATGTGTAGAAGCATATCTGAAAACATTCCCCTTAAGATTCACATGAAAATCCAGTTGTAGACTTCTGCTGTTCTCGCAGTCGTAGTCGCATTCGCGATGACAGTCGCAGCGGCAACGGCAGTCGCAGTCACAGCCTCAACCTCAGCCTGCCTCAGCCTCAGCCTCAGCCTGCCTCAGCCTCAGCCTGCCTCAGCCTCAGCCTCAGCCTGCTTCAGCCTCAGCCTCAGTCTGCCTTCAGCCTCGGCCTCAGCCTCAGCCTGCCTCAGCCTCAGCCTGCATCAGCCTCAGCCTCAGCCTCAGCCTGCCTCAGCATCAGCCTGCCTCAGCCTCAGCCTCAGCCTGCCTCAGCCTCAGCTTCAGTCTGCTTCAGCCTCAGCCTCAATCTGCCTTCAGCTTCGGCCTCAGCCTCAGCCTGCCTCAGCCTCAGCCTGCCTCGGCCGCAGCATCAGCCTGCTTCAGCATTCATAATGTGGCCCAGGAACGGAGTTCTGGGAACTAGAAAAACACGAAGTGGCCTAGAGTTGGTTCCGGACATCCAAAATGTGGCCCAGGAATGGAATTTTGGGAAGTCGAAAAGCACGAAGTGGCCTAGAGTTGGTTCCGGACATCCAAAATGTAGCCCGGAAATGGAGTTCTGGGAAGTCGAAGAACACGAAGTGGCCTAGAGTTGGTTCCGGGCATCCAAAATGTGGCCCGGGAATGGAGTTCTGGGAAGTCGAAGAGCACGAAGTGGCCTACAGTTGGCTCCGGGCATTGAGAATGTGGCCCGGGAATGGAGTTCTGGGAGGTCGAAGAGCACGAAGTGTGTGGCTGTTTGCGAAAAACGAGTGCGGCGGCAGCCGCGCCGGGTCCCGCCCCGGGTCCCGCCCCGACCCCCCTGAGGAGTCATGATGTCTTCTTTTGGGACCATTAGAAACCTATCAGTCTTCGCTGTTAGGTAAAAACGAACGAACGAACGAACAAACAAACAAACAAGCATGCATGGGCATAGATCGGCACGAACGGAACGGGCTCGTAAAGAAGAGACGCGAAGACCGACAGCACTTCCTGCTCATTTAAAGCCAAGCTCGTTGTCGGTGTCGCCGCGGACAGTGCCCATTCATGTGAGGCAGAAGGCCGTCTGCCCAAGAGCGGCCGCAGCTGGTTCTGGAAAACATGTGTTGTGCGGTATCATACTCATGTTTGTTCCGTGCCGGGCGTCCAAATAGACTCGGGAGGATCGAGGACTGCAGGAAAGCAGCCCTGCAGGAGCCCTGAATGGCCACTGCGGGCCCAACTGGCGCACGGAAGACGCGCGCTGCTTCACCCTACGTTGATAGCCCTCCGCTAGCGAACATTCATGCCCCGTCTGTTGCAGTGCGAGGTTGTTCCCAGTTTGCGAGTCTTCAGAAGGGAGGAAGGTGCGTGAACATCCTTCCAGAGTGGAGCTGGCTGGGGGGCGGAGGAGGCCCAGTACCAGTTCCCAGCCAGCACACAGAGGGGGGAGTAAGGGACCCCCTCGTCGCCAACGCTGGACGCAGTTTTTCCTCCTCCTCCTCCTCCTCCTCCTCCTCCTCCTCCTCATCATCCTCCTCCTCCTCTTCCTCCCGCCTCGCGGAGCTGGCTATACGCCCTGTGGACGCCCCAGGGATGCGAGCCGTCATGTTGAAGATGGTCAGCGAGATTTTGGGGAGACGCCGTCTGCAGGCGTCGTCGTTGATTATATGCCCCACGATTTGAGTTCTGCGAGTGGTGACCGGCGTGGAGTTTGCGCCGCTCGGCATGTTTCTGCACCTAGAGATGATTATGTTTGTCGTCACAAAGTTAGAGATGGTCGAGGTTCTGGTACAAACGAAGACGGTGCTCTTCCCCAAGATCTTGCGTTTCCTCATGAGTGTCCTTCTGAACTACCTTATGTTGCGATTCGTGGTGTTGGCGTCTCCCGTACCTGGTGGAACGCCCGCAAAGAGCTCGCCAAGGGTTGGCTGGATCCTCTCCACGAAGATCGAGCTGCTCCCAAGGTGGTTCCTTTCAAGTTCTTGCTGAACTCGCTTCGTCCTCCTGAACCTGATAGGGCCGCTTGCCATCGCCATCGTAGTATGCGCGCCGTTTGATTTTTCCTCCTCCCCCTACGCCTGCTTCTGTGCATTTACATTGTTGGGTGTGGGTGGGGTGGGTATGATTTGTGGAGGAAGGTATACGACTCAGCGTTGAATTTAAGCTTGTGTGCCATATTCGAGAATGGGAGGAACTCCCTTCTCTCGATTGCTGTTTCTTCGAGGCCCTCGTGGCTTCCGTCCCTGAGTTCTCGGTCGTGGCCCTCGCTCGTCCTTGTCTGGGTCCGGGTTCCCCGTCCCTCGCTTTCTTTCGGTCCCCCTCGGGCCCGCCGTCGCGCGTCGGCCACGCGCAGGAGTTGCTGTTCTGACGGTAACCCGCGGATAGATATTATATATAAAGCAAAAAATCCTCCTTCTCCTCCTCCTCCTCCTCCCTCCTCCTCCTCCTCCTCCTCCTCCTCTTCCTCCTTCTCCTCCTCCTCCTCCTCCTCCTTCTCCTCCTCCTCCTCCTCCTCCCACTGTTTTCAACCCCAGGAGGGGTCCGGGGACCGATTTCGAGCGCATCTGCCCTCGCCCCCCTGTGGTTTTGACTTTCTTGGGGCCCATCCAGCGCAGACCCCCCAGCCGCTTCCAACGTCCCGATCATAAGATGGGGAAAATTGCTACCAGCTACCAGTTCTTTGTTGCAGTGTTTTCCAGGGCGGCGGGGACCGGTTTCGAGCGCATTTGCTCTCGCCCCCCGGTGATTTTGACCGATCTTTTCGGGGCCGACCCAGCGCAGACCCCCCAGCCGCTTCCAACGTCCCGCTCTCGTGATGCGGAAGATTGCTACCAGTTCTTTGCAGCTTTTTTCCCCTGGAAGGCTCAGCGGCGTCATCGCCGCTTCTCATATTTGTTTGGGATCGCCCAGATGGGTCACCCCAAACCAAGAGGGCTGGCAATGAAGAGCATCGATTGGTGATCCAACGTGCTCCGCTGCACGTCTGTTTCAGAACAGCGGCGATCGCCAGCCACACGTCAATTGTATTAATCATGCTGGCCACGTCTACAAGAGCCAGGAGTTCAAGACACCTTTTGGCGTGAAGGCTGGTAAATATTCTTGTGAGCGTTGGGCCATCATCCTTGCGAACTCCATTACACTACGCAGGAATCCGATACAATACCGCCACGATAGCACAAAGACAGCGACTGCAAGAATACTGGCGAGGACGAGCAGCGAAAACAAAGTCACAACAAGCGCAACGCAATAAGGACTCGACGAGAGAGGAGGGCCCCGCAGCGCACTCTCCCCCGGGGAGGACGGGAGGGAAGGGCGAGGTAGGGGGGGAGGCGGAGGAGGAAGGAGAGGGAGGAGGAAGAGAAAAGGGGAGGAGGGGCAAGGTGGGGAGAGGGGTTGCGAATATGAGAAGGGGAGGGACCCAGACATGCCGATCGAATTGGGGCTTTCATACTTCTCTTCCAGGAAACTGGGCTTGTTTGTCGGGTTCAACGCCTTTGGCCACACGCCGCCGCCTCTTCGCCGCCCGTCGCCCGTGCCTGCTTGCTGGGCTCGCCACCCTGTGGCAGCCTCGTCGCCGCCCGTCGCTGCCTGTCGCTTGGGCCTATTTGCCAGGGTCGCCGCCGTTTCGCCGCCCGTTGCCGTCTCGTCGCCGCTCGTCGCACAGATCGCACCCGATAGATTATCATGTCTACTGAATATTCAGATCTACCCCTCATCCCAGCCAGACCGGATATCGACCCCCCCCCTCGTCCTCCGCAAAGAGTATTACGCGCGCACATTCGTTTATCAAAAACCAATCGGTTTCTGACATCTGTTTTGCGAAAAACGGGACGAAGTGCACGCGCGCGCGTCGTCGCGCGCGCATGCCGAAGCCCTTCAAAAATCAATGGCTCCGTAAGGAGTTCACATCGAATGCCACGACAACGCATATAAAAGCACATGGTTTCGCAACAAGAATGTTCAAGACAAGTTTGCGCTCGCGCTCTTGCGAATTCTTGCGAAAACCATTTTTGCGTTTTGGACATGTTCATACATTAGTACCAAACGGGTTTCTCGCGCGCGCGCATGCCGAAATCCTTCGAACGCCTTTGCGCGCGTGCTCTCGCAAGAATCCATTGCAAAAAACGGGGCGAAGTGCACGTGCGCGCGTCGTCGCGCGCGCATGCCGGAGCCCTCCAAAAATCAATGACTTCGAAAGGAATTCAAAATCGATTGCTCCGAAAACATATAAAACACATGGTTGTGCAACATAAGTGGTCAAAAAACTGCACTCGCGCTCCTGCGAATTCGCTGGGCAACGATAGGTTGTTCACCATTAGATGCGGCCAAACGGGCTTCTCGTGCCGCATGTCGGCATCATACGAACGCCCTTGCGCGCGTGCTGGGGGGCACGTCTCGTGTCAAATAATGCCATGCGGACCACTCTGGCGCGTCGGCCGCGCGCGCATGTCGAACTCTTTCCAGAACCTTCATCACCGACTGGCCGTGCCGTCACCGTTGTCATAAGCGTCACCAGCGTCGCTACTATCATCATCGCGTCTATCGTTGTCGACGTTGCCATGATACCGCGCCCGCCCAGGTGGCCGACTCGCACTGAAGTGCCCGCTGGGAAGAGCCCGGAGGTCAGCGCCACCGCGGCCGCGCCGGTCGCGCCAAACTAGCTGGCCGCTGCGCGCGCGAGCATGCGCGGGCTAGCGCGGCTGCAGAGATGCACCAGCCAACACCAAGTCACCAAGCACTCATCGCAATCGCCGCCGCATGGGTTTCGCAAAACAAGTTGCGGGCGGGCGGGTGGGATGATTGCGCGAGCATTGGAATTGACAAGTGCGCCTTCCACAAGCGAGTTGCATTAAATAATGTTCCCCACCTCGATTCTCCTTACTGAAAAGAATATTAGGATCTACCCCTCCCCCCCCGGAGTTAACGCATCACCTCTTCGCATTGCAATGTACTTGCGATTCTGCCCCATTGTCCATCTGAAATATGAGCCCCTTTATCATCCCAGCCAAACCGTCATCGACCCTCCCTCACCTGTGTAAATAAATACTACGCGCGCACAGTCTTTTACCAAAAATCAGGAGCATCCGGGAATACATTGCAAAAGAAACGAGACGAAGTGCACACGCGCGCGTCGTCGCGCGCGCATGCCGAAGTGTTTCGAAAACCTCTGGTTGCGTAGGGAGGTCAAAAGCGATTGCCCCAGAAACCAAAAAAACAAAAAAACAAATCAACAAAAAACGCAACCCGTTGCAAGAAGAGTTTACAACCAAAAACCCCACAAACAACAAAGATTGCTTTCCCGTTCTTGCGAATTCCCCAGAAAACCGCAGGCTGCTCAACGCTTCTGAAGATGCAACCGAACCTGCCTCTCGCGCGCGCGTCGAAATCCTTCGAACGCCTTTGCGCGCGTGCTCTCGCAAGAACCCCTTTTCAGATAACGGGACGAAGTGCACACGCGCGCGTCGTCGCGCGCGCATGCCGAAATCTTTCAAAAACCCGAGGCTTCGGGGGGGGATTCATCGAGTGCCCCGAAAACATATGAAGATACATGGTTTCGCATCATCAGTCTTCAACAAAGCCTGCGCCTGCGCACCTACGAATTCATGAGAAAACCATGGGTTTCTAACAATGTTCATCGGGCCTCTCGCGCCGCATGTCGAAATTAATCAAACGCCACTGCGCGCGTTTCTGGGGGGGGCACGATCTTTATCAAATGACACCACGCGGGTCACTTTCGCGCGTCGGCCGCGCGCGTATGGCGCACTCCTTTCAAGACCTTCATCGCCGACGCAAGGACGCCGTCATCGTCGTCGGCGCGATTTGCGTCGGCGCCAGCATTGGCCTTGCCGCCGTCGTTATCATCAACGTCGCCAGCGCCGCCACCATCACCATCGCGTCTCCCGCTGTCGACGTTGCCATGGCACCGCGCCCGCCCAAGTCGCCGATTCGCACTGGATCCGCGTCAGACAAGGGGACGAATGCACGCGCGGGCCGTCGCGTTCGCGTGCCCGAATCCTTCAAAAACCTTGGGTTTCATAGGGGGGGTTAAACCGAGTGCCCCGAGCCATATAGGAGCACATGGTTGTGAAACATCAGTGTTGAAAAGAAACTTGCGCTCGCGCTCCTGCAGATTAGACAGCCATCGGTTCTGCGACATGTCCATCAAATTTTGTCAGACGGGCCTCTCGCGCCGCACGCCGAAATCATTCGAACACCCTTGCGCGCACGCCGGGGAAGACACGATCCGTCCCAAAGAATATCACGCGGGCCATTATCGCGCATCGGCCGCGCGCGCATGTCGAAGTCCTTCCAAAACATTCCTCACCGACGCAAGGACGCCGTCATCGTCGTCGGCGTGATCAGCATCGGCGCCGTCATTGGCCGCGCCGTCGTCGCAGTCATCGTCGTCACCAACACCGCAACTACCATCGTCGCGTCTAACGTTGTCGCCGTTGCCATGATACCGCGACCGCCCAACTCGCCGACTCGCAGTGAAGTGCCCGGTGGGATGGGCCCAGCGGTCAGCGCCACCGCGGCCGCGCCGGCTGCGCCAAACTAGCTGGCCGCTGCGCGCGCGAGCATGCGCGGGTTAACGCGGCCACAAAGATGCACCAGCCAACACCACGCACTCATCGCAATCGCCGCCGCATGGGTTTTGCAAACCAAGTTGAGGGTGGGTGGGTGGGTGGGATATTTGCGCGAGCAGTGGAGTTGACAAATGCATGTTCGGCAAGGTGAACAGTACCACATAGATTTTCATTTCCTTAATAGGATCTACATCCCTCCCCCTTTCCCCGGAATGAACGGTTCCTTTTTTTTCGCTTTGCAATTGTCATACGGTTTTGTCTCATCACCCATCCTGAATATCATCTCATACCATCCAGATGGGCCTGTGTCGCCCCCCCCTCCTCATCCTGCGCAGAAATTTTTACGCGAGCACACTCGTTCTTCAAATCAGCACACACACGAGCCGTTGGCAAAACCGAACAGAAAAAAACACGGCGAAGCGCGCATGCCGAAATCTTTCAAAACTTCCAGTGTCTCAGGAATTTCAAAATCGAGTGTCCCGAAAATTGACAGAAGCATTTGGTTTCGCAACAAGAATGTGCACGAAAATACTTGCGTTCGCGCCCTTGCTAATTTCTACGGGAATCATCGGTTTGTCAACATGTGTATAACATGTTATCAAACGTGCCTTCGCACGCGCATGTCGAAATCACTCGAACGCCCTTGCGCGCGTGCTATCGCAAGAAACCTTTGCGGAAAACGGAACGAAGTGCACACGCGCGCGTCGTTTCGCGCGCATGTCAGAATCTCTCAAAAACCTTAGGTTTCGTAGGGGGTTCAAAATCGAGTGCCCCGAAAACGTTTCGAAACATCATGCGCGTTCGCTCCTGCGAATCTATCAGAGAACCATATGTTCTGCAACATGTTCATTAAATTCGGTCACACGGGCCTCTCGCGCCGCATGCCGAAATCATTCGAACGCCCTTGCACGCGTGCTGGGGGGGAAACGATCCGTGTCAAAGAATATCATGCGGGCCATTCTCGCGCATCGGCTGCGCGCGCGCATGTCGAACTCCCTCCAAAACATTCATCACTGACGCAAGGACGCCGTCATCGTCGTCGGCGTGATCAGCATCGGCGCCGTCATTGGCCGCGCCGTCGTCGTTGTAATTATCGTCACCAGCATCGCTATTATCATAATCGTTTCTTCCGTTGGCGACGTTGCCATGATACCGCGCCCGCCCAAGTCGCGGACTAGCATTGAAATGCCCGCTGGGAAGTGCCCAGCGGTCAGCGCCACCGTGGCCGCGTCGGTCGGGCCAACTGGTTGGCCACGGCGCGCGCGAGCATGCGCGGGCGAACGCGGCCGCAGAGATGCACCAGCCAACATCACGCACTCATCGCAATCGCCGCCGCATGGGTTTTGCAAACCAAGTTGCGGGTGGGCGGGTGGGATAATTGCGCGAGCAGTGGAGTTGACAAGTGCGCGTTCCACAAGCGAGTTGCATCAGATAATGTTCACCACTTCGGTTCCCCTTACCGAAAAGAATATCAGGATCTACCCCGCCCCCCCCCGGAGTCAACATAAATTCATTGCACACCATGGATTTCACCACGCAGTGCACACCACATAAGTTCTTCCGCACAGGCTGCACCACGTAGGTTGCACCACATTGCATGCTAGAACACATCGTTGGGGGCCCACGCTGGACCGCATGTCTCCAGCACGGGATCCCTGGAAGTCCCGGGCCGGGCCCTTCCCCAGGCCCCGGCTCTGCATCCCGAGTCGCTCTTGGACGGTATCGGAGCTTGGCGCCCCCCCCTCTTGAGCTCTTGGCCGCTCCCGAAGCTTGGCGAGGGCCTCCGGATGCCGAAACTGGCAAAAGAAAAACTCCAGGCGTGATTTTTTTCACAGGCGTGATTTTTGTTTCACGACGCGGGCATGTATGGGTAGCTTGCCAGGGGGGCGAAGCGGCCACGACAGGCGTTGCTCACCCTCTTCGCCTCCTGGTTGCCGCCCGTGACGTTGCTGCACTGCCTGCCGTCGCTGGAGCGTGGCGGCATGGCGCGTCCGCCATCTTCCCTGTTCTTTCTCTCGGCCCCTCCCTTCCCAGACATGCTCGCGTCGCCAAAAACAACACATTCTTGTCGGCGGCGACTCAGATCCAAGACGCGGTCGAAGCATGGTCGTAGAAGAAGCACGACGGGAGGTTTTAGGCAGTTTTCGGCTTCCAAGGGGCCCGCATGGACCCAGGACCGTCCAAAAACGATTCGGGATGAAAAACCAGCCCCGGGGAAAGGTTCTGGACTTCCAGGGGCGCGGTATGGAGAAAATAACAACATCGGATGTTTGGGGTTTCTCCCCCTTTAACCACCTTCCCGGCCACCAACCGCCCCCTCCTTGCATCTCCCATACGTCCCACCCTCTCCATTCCTGCCGCCGTCCAATATCTCCGAATCCCGTCCTTGCCGGGCGCTTATTGGAACCTCTTTGGAGCTATCTTGGAGCTCGCTGCGCCTCTTTGGTGCTACCAGACTCGTCCTGGAAGTGTCATGGATTGTTTATGCAGGGGACGTCTTGGAGCCCTCTGATGCAAATTGAACACCCACGTAAGGTTCGTCCTTCCTGAGTCCCCCAGCCCATCTTCCAAGTGTGCAGGGTCGATCCCCATGGACACGTTACGGGAGGTGTGCAATCATCTCCCATGACGGTGCCAAAAAAGCGAATGCCGAAGTTCCAGATTAATTCAAGAGCGAATCGATCGAGGAACGGCTGGGTTATTCGTTTCGAGCGGTATGCATCTCATGCCGTAGGAGTCAAGACGAGGGTTGGTGGCCAAAGTTGGTTTGGTCCGCAGAAAAAGTTGAGCACGGGGCTAGTACGCTTTGGCGCCTGACCCGATACCAGCCCATACCATCAGCAATGCTTCCCTTTGTATCCCTTTGTAGTACACGTTGTTGATTGTTGTTGCTTGCGTTGCACTCATACACCAATTCGGCGCCATTTAAGACGCTTGAGCCATTGGCCTCCAGTAGAAGCGCATGCATTGCAAGAGATGGGCCATTATTTTCCTTGGAGCACGCGTGGTTCTGCATACGCCCCTCTGACTGCAAACACATCGAGTGGGTGTCGGACGGCTACAGTGATTGACGCTGACTCGCAAGAGAGCGTGAGACAGTGGGCGACAGATGTGTGCAGATGTAGAAATGCACACAGTATTAAACATATCCGTATACATGTGCACATATGGAGAAATATTTATAATCACACGAATACTGCCAATTCAAACTTTTGAGTGGCTCATAAGCGCGACAAGCCCACATTTCGGCGTCTTCCATTCATCGACGACGGAGATCCCTGGCGGCCCTCGGGAAATACAGGGCACGAGGCACGTCGTGGGAGGCTGCACCCCTTCCGTCCATTCATACAGCCCCTCCCCTATTGCCCCCCGCCCCCCCTGCCATGCCGAGGGAGAGTCTCAGAACTCCCCGATCCGTGCTTCCCCTCAGGGCATCTTACACCTCAGGCGATGCTTAAGAAAACTTAAGTTTTCGTCCATAGTCTCGATTATTCTTAACTTTTCAATGTAACTCCCAAGATTTTGATAGAAGTTCTGGGTTTTGTTCAAGTCCTGAGACCATGAATTTCTTAACCTATGATTTCTTAAGCATTTCGCAGGGTGTACTCGTGCTCAAACCGGTCGGCATGGGTGCTCGGGCCGTCGCCCGGTCGCCGCCCCGTGGCCGCCCGTCGCCGCCCCGTGGCCGCCTCGTGCGTTGGCACGGGCCTCCAGGTTGTCGCCCGGCCGCCGCCTCGTGGCGGTCCGGTGCCGCCTTCTCGCCGCGCCTCGTGGCCGCCCGTCACCACCCCGCTGCCGCCCCTCGCAGGGCCGTGCGGGTGCAGCACGTACCGGATACCACGCAGCCAGCACCGCACAGGTTGCATCGCACGGCTTGCACCGCACGGGCTCTCCTTCCAAAGGGAGAAGAGGCTCTACCACCATCTCGCCCCGGAACGTATCCGTTTGCCCTGGGACATTCTGAATGAAGTGCGATTCTGTTTCATCGATCATTGTCCATAGAAGTTCATACCAGCCCAGCCCAGCCAGTATCGACCCCCTACCCACATCCCTGTCAGACACTACTATGCGCGCACACTCTTTCATCTCAAGAAATAAGTCTGTAAGAGCCCCCTGCAAGCAAAATGTACTAATTCCACACGCGCGCGCCCATGTCGAAATTTCAAGTCGTGCAGGTGTTCTGCCCGCGTGCACTTGTCGAAATTGTAAGCAATATGGCCCAGAACCCGCATCGTCATCCCACCACGCGGTGCACCCGAGTTGATCCAGACTGCGCCCAGTGCACGAATCCGTATCAAACCGTATTATGCGGGCCACTTGCGCGCGCCGCCACGCGCGCGTGTCGAAATTCTGCAAAAAAACATTAGAATAATTTCAATATACAGGTTTTCAGAGACATAAGAGCCAAAAAAAGTTTCTGCAAACGTATGCCAAGTGTGCTGCATGTCCGCGCGCGCGCACTGCCTCATCATCACCATCAACAGCGCCGCCGCATCACATCATCGTCATCGACAATCGCCGCCGTTGCCGCCGTGATCACTCGATCACCGTCAGCACCCACACATGGACATCATCATCATCATCATCGTCATCGTCGTCACCAGCATATTTATGCCGTCATTGGACTTGCCGTCGTCATCGTCATCATGGCCACCACCTACGCTACTATCACCATCGCTGCCGCCATTGTCGACGCGATCATGATGCCGCGCCCGCCCGAATCACCGATCCGTGCTGAAGTGCCCGCGCGCCAGCACGGCGTTTGAGACGCGTTGCGAAGTCCCCATCGGTAAACACCATCGCGACCGCATCGGTTGTGCCAAACCAGTTGGCCGTTCTGCGCGCGAGCTTGCGTGCTGGCGCAGCCGAACAGATGCGCCAACCAGTCCCAAGGAGTCTCTGCAATCGCGGCCGCGTGGGTTGTCCAAAACAATTTGTGGGTGGAAGTGGGATGACTGCGCGAGCAGTGGAGTCAACAATTCAAACATGAACAATAATCAGCTGATTGCTTATACTGCACCACATAGATCGCGCCACATAGCTTGCGTCACATAGTTTGCACCACATAGTTTGCGCCACGTCGCTCACACCACACAGATTGCACCACATGATTTCTACCGCATAGCTTACACCGCACAGGTTACACCAAACAGTTTGTGCACAAGCTCGCTGTTTGGGGCCCAGGCTGGCAAGCATCTTTATTGTTTTTGCCCAACGGGGTGCGGTGCTGCCCCGCCTAGGGGGCCGCATGTGGACTCCAGAACATTGCGGGCGGACAGATCCCCTTGAGGGTTGGGGCCTAGCATTTTTACAGAGCTGATTCAAGCGTGGGGGGCGCAAAAACGGCCCTGGCACAGCTGTGACCCCTAGGATGTGGCGCGAGAGTTCCGAAAGGAAGGAAGATCAAGCCAATTTCGAGCCGAAAATGTGCCTCGTCCATCCTGGTCCAACAGTTTCGCCAATCGACCGTTCGATTCCGCGACTTGTATTGCTTGCCTCGTGAGCTATAAGGTCATGTGTTCGAGCGGACGGGGACTCAGCTTAGTAGCAAGATGCCGGATCGGGAGCATGACTCCCGAAAGTTCAAGCGTCGACGTGTAGACCATATTCGGGCGTGCACCCCGATTTCTCCTAGGCATCTAATCATCACTTGCAACACCGTCTCATGCCAGCAGAGCCATACGTTGAGCTAGGATGGCGTGGATGGCGCCCCAAGGTCATGCCCCAAGGATGGCGTGGATGGCGTGCATGTAAAGTAGTGTAGTACTTGGGTCGGGGTCGCACCCCTACATAGCCAACTTCTCTGTGCAGCTTGCGTGCCTAGTGCGGGCGGGATCGAGGGCGTGTCCTTGCCTTTCTCGCTTTCCTTGTCGGCATGTTGGCGCACGTACCCGAACTTGTCCTTGCTTCCTTACCCTGCCGGTGAGCTGCAAAGCCGCAGCTGCCTGCCGCTCCTCGCAAAACCTTGGGGGGGGTCCTGCGCAGGCTGGACTGCTGGCGACAACGCTGGCGGTGCTCGGCCTGGCGGAGCCGCAGCTGCTGAGGTGGGCGCGGCGCTGCAGGGGGAAGCCCACCACTGGCCTCGGCCAAGGTGCGGGCCCGTTGACCCTGGAGTAGTATGCAAGGGCTCCCTCGAGGGCGCGAAGTTATTCGCGCTTCGCGCTTCGCGGTCCTCGTTCCTTCTCCCCCTCCTCCTCGTCCTCCTATTCTCCTTCTGGGAGGGCGGCGCGAGAGCGCGAAGTTATTCGCGCTTCGCGCAGCGCGAAGCGCGAAGTTGGGAGCCTGAGTAGGTGAGGAGCCTCCGCGCCCACCCTACCGCTGGCAGGCCGAATTAGACGTCGGCCTGCCAGCAGGTGCCCCCAGGAAATGTCTGATCCCCCGAGATCCCCAGGCACCCCCAGGAGCTCTGGGGCGCCTCAGAGTCTTCAAAGATCGACGACGACTGTACCCAAAAATGTCTTAACAGCAAGATTTCTTATCGTATGTGGCTACTGTCTCTATCCATAGTGTTACGTTGTATCCCCCCCTAGGTTACTTTCACACGACTTACTCCTAGCGACTACTTGGGGAAGCCTCCTCGGTTGCGGTGAGTTTCGCGCAGAAGCGAGGGGTGGTTTATCAAGGGTGGTGCCGCGTGTATTGGCTTGGTGGCCGCAGCTTAAATAGTACACACATGAGCCGGATGAAAGCGTATCGAATGGCACCAACACGTACGTACATATATCGATGTACATGAGCAGTGATTCCCAGCGCATGTTCTGAAGTGTATGTTGAATTGCCACATAATGCCACTCCCTCGTTATCGCCCCGATAGCATCCCCAATAAGGTCATGACATCCTAGACGTCCCAAACAACAACAACAACAACAACAACAACAACAACAACAACAACAACAACAACAACAACAACAAAAACGACAACGATAACGACAACGACAGCAACAGCAACGACAACGACAACAGCAACAACGACGACAACAGCAACGAAAACAACGACAACAACAACAACAACAACAACAACAACAACAACAACAACGACAACGACAACGACAACGACGACAACAACAACAACAACAACAATCAGTTTACCCTCATGCGCGATGCTTTCACACGAAGCATGCGACCATCATGATAACCATCCCCATCATGGGGGACGATTGTTCCATAGCGGGGTCCGTTATTCCCATTCCCAGATATCCCGCCCAATGAGGTCTTGCAAACACTTCCTCCGAATACTTAACAGATCCCGCCTCGAATACGCATGCCCACGCCTTGCTGCGCCGATGCGAGACCGCCAGTGGAACCCCAGCCAAGGGTAAAGCACAAGGAAGTATCGAGCGACAATATTGCCTTGGTGGGGATGGGGGCTGTCGGCAGCGAGGCAAGGACCTGGCCCTGAATAGAAGGGGAGGAAGTCTCGAGCAGGGCCGCCGTTGTTGCTGGGAGCGGCGCCAATGCTGAAGAGAGTAGCGCGGTAGTCCAGCGTAAAACAAAACGAAGTCTCGAGCGGGAACTCAGGTTTTGTTGGGACGGCGGTTGTCGGCGGCGAGGAGGAACACCGCTTTGAGTAAGAAGGGAGGAAGTCTCGAGCGGGAGCCGTGGTTTTGTCGGGACGTGGGCTGTCGGCTGCGAGGAACAGCACCGTCCTGAGGAAAAAGGGAGGAAGCCTCGAGCGGGAGCGTTGTTCTTGCTTGGGGCGGCGCCAATTCAAAAGAGAGTAGGGCGCCAGTCAAGCGTAAAACGGGAGGAAGTCTCGGGCGGGAGCGCTGGTTTTGTCGGGACGGCGGTTTTCGGCGGCGAGGAGGAGCGTCGCTGTGAGTAAAAATGGAAGGAAGTCTCGAGCGGGAGCATTGTTGTTGCTGGGGGCGGCGCCGATGAAAGAAAGAGTAGCGCGCCAGTCCAAGGTAAAACGGGAGGAAGTCTCGAGCGGTAGCGCTGGTTTTGTTGGGACGGCGGTTTTCGGCGGCGAGCAAGAGCACCAGCCCTGAGTAACAAAGGAGGACGTCTCGAGCGGGAGCGTTGTTGTTGTTGTTGGGGGGCCCGTTTTGGCGCCTCCCCAAACCGTTCGAGCGTGAGCCTCATTTCCAATGAAAATGCAGCCGGCGCCGAGACGAGAGCGCCAAAGCGACTGGGGGGATCCAACAATAATAATTGTTAAGAAATTGACATTCAACAACAACAGCAGCAGCAGCAACAACAACAACAACAACAACAACAACGACAACGACAACGACAACAACAACAATAACAACAACAAGTACAACCAAAGCAACTACGTGCACAGCAACCACAACAACAGCAGCAGCAACAACGACGACAACGACAACGACAACGACAACAGCAACGACAATAAACAGTTTACCCGAATATACATATAACGGCGCACCAGGTCCGGGCGCCCGGGGCCGGCGCCGCTACCGCAAATGTGGGCTTCGGGGCCCTCGGGGAGCCCCGGGGCCTCAGAAGGCCGCCGGAAGGCGCCAAGAAGGCCCCAAGAGGCTCCAGAACAGACCCAGGACGCCCGAAGGTCGCTCCCAGACGCCCAACATGGCCTCCAAGGCGGCTTCAGAAGCCCCCAAGACACCCCAAGCGACCCCCAACAGGGCCCCAACCCCAAGGGGCCAAATTAGCCCCATTCCCTCCGTAAAACGTATATGTTTAACATATTGCTTGTTTTCGCTGTCGGTCCGGCCGAGGACGCAACCCAGAGGGCCCCAATACAGCCACAGAGAGCTCCAGGACGGCCCACGAAGGGCCCAAGACGGCCCAAGAAAGTCCCCAAGACGGGCCCGAGAGGGCCCCAGAGGAGGAAAGCCACCATCGAATTCCAAGCTTTCGACCCCAAGTGGCTCCAGGAGGCGCCGAGAAGCCCCCAAGAAGCGCCCGGAAGGCTCCCCAAAGCACCCCAAGACGCTCCAAGAGGCACCCCAAGAGAGCTCCAAGAAGCAAAAATCGTTTCATTCCTCTGGGAAAACGTATATTTTTCGTATGTTCGCCTGTTGGACTGTCATCGCGTCCAAGACGGTCCAAGGGGTTCCCAAGACGGCCTAGGAGGCCCCCAAAAGAGCTCCAAGACGGGCCACGAGAAGCCCAGGACGGCCCAATGGGCCCCCAAGACAGCCCAAGAGAGCCCCAACACGCGCCCGAGAGGAGTCCCAGAGAAAGAAAGCCGCTCTCGAATTCCGAGCTTTCGGCCCCAAGAGATCCCAGGAGGCGCCGATGCGCCCCCAAGAGGCCCCAAGCAGGCCCCCCAAAGCACCCCAAGATGCTCCAAGAGGCACCCCAAGAGAGCCCCAAGAAACTAAAATCCGCCCATTCCGATGGGAAAACGTACATTTGTCGCATGCTCGCCTCTTGGGCTGTCGCCGCGTCCAAGACGGCCCAAGCAGCCCCCCAAAACGGCCTAGGAGGCCCTTACGAAATCTCCAAGACGGCCCAGGAGGAACGCAGGACGGCCCAATCGGCCGGCCCCCAAGACGGCCCAAGAGAAGCCCAAGAAGCGCCCGAGAGGGTTCCCAGAAGAAGACAGCCACTTTTCTAAAGAAGGGAATTCCCAGAATTCCCTTCTTTAGAAAAGTGGGACTCCTACTCGGGGGTCCCACGCATCCCCTGACATCTGGCCGGTACCGCGCCTCCCGGCTTCCCCGGGGGAGACCCCAAGACGCCGAAGGACAGCCCATGACGACCATAACGTAAAGAACGGCCCAACACGCTCCCGCGCAGCCCGAGACACCCTTCCGACGGCTCTCCAAGCCTCCAGGAGGCCTCCAGAAGCCCCAGGGGGTCTGGAAGATCCCACACCCCTGAGGGGCCCGGCTAACAAAACCCGCGAGGCACAAACAAAAACAGCGCCGAACAGCGCCGAGGAACTGGAAAAATATGAGAATTCCACATTTTGTTTTGTTTTCCAAGGTTGGCCCCCAGTCTACTCTTGCACAACAGACCAAAATTACGATCCCCCTCACCTTCCAAAAATAATTCAGGAAGCCTTTGAGGGCCCCAAGTCGTTGAATCCCTTCCGCACTTCCCCTTCTATACGATTCCGAGGCTTGCGCAGGGCCTCCAAGGGAGTCCCTGGACGCAAGAAGCGACCAACATGATATTACATGAGTTAGCCGATCAAGCCTAGCTAGAACTTGAGCGCGCGCGAAGCGCGCGCAATGGTTCTAGTGCTCTATGGGTATGTATGCAGCATGAATCCATCATGGGATCCCCGCCGTATGGGGGATTATCTTGCACAGGGGAGGTCCGATATTCCCTTGCCCAGATCTCCCGCCCTAGGAGGTATTGAGAACACCTCTTCCGAAGCGCTTCGACATTCCCAGCCCAGATGGCACGTCGCTTTCGCAATCGCCTTGCCCACGCCATACGCTTAGGCAAACCACCACATTACGAGAGGCGCCGCAACCTCCGGGAGAGCCCCCGGAGACCCGTGGAGAGCCTCTCGAACTCCTTACTAGTCAGATCCCCTGCGGGAGACTCGTGAATTTTGCAAGAATCGAGGAAGCATCTGGGAGTGTTGCAAGGGCTCCCTCGAGGGCGCGAAGTTATTCGCGCTTCGCGGTCCTCGTTCCTTCTCCCCCTCCTCCTCGTCCTCCTATTCTCCTTCTGGGAGGGCGGCGCGAGAGCGCGAAGTTATTCGCGCTTCGCGCAGCGCGAAGCGCGAAGTTGGGAGCCCTAGTGTTGGACAAAAGCAGGGGACGTATCGAGCGGGAGCGCCGTTGTCTGCAGAAGGGGGGGGGCCGCTGGCGGCGCCGAGGCGGGAGCGCCAGTCCTTGAGTGAAAAGCAGCGACGCATCGAGCAGCAGCGCCCGTTTTGTTGGAAAGCCGGCTTTTCCGTCGACGAGCAAGAGCCCCAGCCCCGAGTAGAAAAGGAGGAAGTTCGGAGCCCCGAATCATCAGGGGTAATTCGGGTCAGGGATAACTCGGGTTCGGTTTTCGGGAATCCAAACCCGAGTTACCCCGGACCCGAGTTACCCCGGATAACTCGGGCGTCCAGAGCCCCGAATCATCAGGGGTAACTCGGGTCAGGGCTAACTCGGGTTCCTTTTTCGGGAATCCAAACCCGAGTTACCCCGGACCCGAGTTACCCCGGATGACTCGGGCGACCAAGAAGTGCCGAGTGGAAGCGATGGTGTTGTTGGGGGGGTGGGCGCTGCGGCGGCCCCCCGAAACGCTGGAGCGCGAGCCTGATTTTTGGGGGAAATGCAGCCAGCGCCGATGCGAGAGCGCCAAAGCGCGGAATAAATCGCAAGGAAATCCCACGCGAGAGCGCGGTTCCGGCATGAATTGTGGGGGTGTCCCGCGCGAGAGCACGATTTCGGAATACATTGTGAGGAGGTATCAGGCGGGAGCCGTTGTTGTTAAAGCCGTGGGCCAAGGGCACAGTTGGAGCACGAAGGTTTTCGTTGATAGTTAATTAATCTGGCAAAAGACCGCACCATATGCTGTCGTGAATACCGCCGTTGTGAGAATTGCCTTCGGTGGACCTCCCTATGGGCACGAAGCGCGCGAAAGGTGCGCCGCACAATGTTGCGGGGCCGCCATGCGGGCGTTGCCGCCGGGGCTTTCCGGGCCACGAAACGTGTGCGGGGCGCGCCTGTGTGGAAAGGGGGGCGACATGCGAGCCATGAATAACTGGGGCCGTCGGTGGGTCCCCTGTGCGGCCACGAAGCGTGCGAGTGGTGTGCCAATGCGGAGTGGGGGCGGCATGCGAACCCTGTGGGACCGAGCGCGGGGCGCATGCCAGAGCGGAGGGGGGGCGGCCGGCGAACCATGCCACACCGGGGCTCCTTCGGTGGGGCTCCACGTGGGGCCACGAAGCAGGCGCGGGGTGCGCCAAAGTGGTCGACACGCGGAGGGGTGAGGAGGAGGAGGAGGAGGAGGAGGAGGAGGAGGAGGAGGAGGAGGAGGAGGAGGAGGAGGAGGAGGAGAGGAGAGGAGAGGAGAGGAGAGGAGAGGAGAGGAGAGGAGAGGAGAGGAGAGAGAGGAGAGGAGAGGAGAGGAGGAGGGGGACGCGGGGCACCGTCTGTTCAAAACGAGGACCCAACACCACAGGACGGTTGGGAAACAGGGTACGGGCCCCGAGGGGGGCACTTCAATTGAACTATTTTGGCGATGCGCCCAACCATATGCAGTTGTGAATGCCGCCGTTGTGAGTATCGCCTTCGGTAGATGTCTTCACGGGGCCACGAAGCGTGTAAAGTGTGTGCCGACATGAGGCGGGGACGCATGCGGGCGCCGCCATTGTGGCCTTCGGTGGCGCTCCATATGGGGGCACGAAACATGTGAGGGGTGCGCCGACATGGAGCGGGGCCGCCATGCGAACTTTGCCACCGCGGCACTTGGTTCGGGCCACGGAACGTTGCACTGTCTAGGAAGCCTCCTGCGAACACCGCCTTTGGGACCTTCGGTGGAGCTCCCTATGGGGCCACGAAGCGCTGTACTGAGTGTGGGAGACGCATGCGAACAACGCCACTGCGGCCTTCGGTGGAGCTCCTTACAGGGCCACGAAAAGCTGTACTGGGCGAGGGAACGCACACGGACACCGCTACTGGAGCCTTCTGTGGAGCTCCATATGGGACCACAAAACGCTGCAGTGGAGGGGGGGAACGCTTGCGGACACCGCCACTGGGGCCTTCGGTGGAGCTCCTATGGGGGCCACGAAGCTTTGTACTGGGCGGGTGAAGCGGATGCGAACACCGCCACTAGGACCTTCGGTGGAGCTCCCTCTGGGGCCACGGGGGTGGGGGAGACGCATGCGAACAACGCCACCGACACTGGGTGGGGGAACGCATACGGACACCGCCACTGGAGCCTTCTGTGGAGCTCCATATAGGACCACAAAACGCTGCACTGGGTGGGGGAACGCATGCGGACGCCGCCACTGGGGCCTTCGGTGGAGTTCCTTTTGGGGCCACGACACGATGCACTGGGCGGGTGATGCGAACACCGCCACTGTGGCCTTGGACTGCACTGGGAGGGGGGAAACGCATACGGACACCTTCATTAGAGCCTTCGGTGGAGCTCCCGATGGGGCCACGAAACGCTGTACTGGGTAGGGGAGACGCATGCGAACACCGCCATTGGGACCTTCGGTGGAGCTCCCTGTGGGGCCACGAAGCGCTGTACTGGGTGGGGGAGACGCATGCGAACACCGCCGCTGAGGCCTTCGGTGGAGCTCCCTATGGGGCCACGAAACGCTGCACTGTGCGGGGGAGACGCGTGCGAACACCGGCACTGAGGCTTGCTGTGGAGCTCCATGTGGGGCCACGAAACGTTGTATTGTGTGAAGAAGCGCATGCGAACCATACGCGCTTTCGTTGCTTCCGTGTTCTGGTTCTCGCGTCTGCCTGGCAGCCTCGTCCGCCGGCGCCCCCACCTCGGGTATTCAGCGGGCTGGGCCGGATCCATGGCCATCGCAGTCCGAGGGCCCGAGGGCGAGGCTCCAGGGGCAGGGGGCGCGGGTGTTGCATGGCGGCGGGATGGCGGGTCCCCAGGCGGGTCGGTGGTGCGTCCCCCCCCGCCAAGGAGAACCCATTGGGGGTGACGCGCGCGGTTGCTCCCCCCCCCCCCCGTGCGCGTCCCCCGTTGTACCCATCCGCAGCGGCGGCGGCTGACCGAAGGCAGAAGAGCGCGGACACCCTGATGCCGGTGCTGCGCAGGACCAGCAGCGCGCCACGTTGATTTGTCCTCGCGCGTGTCCTCCCCTCGGGCTCATGGGTGTTTGCCACGCTCTCGTTACTCGCAACCTGCAGCCGATCCCCATTCCATCCAAAAACACAGATGCACGTATGAGCAAATGTGAGTGGACGTATCTCATGTTCTCCCTCCCCTCCCACAGACCGCATCGTGTTTGTCAAATTCGCACAGACCCGGTCGCGCGTTCGTCCCCACGAAGTCCTGCCCGTTGGGTCGCGGCTTCCTTTTTGTAAGAGAGCGGGTGGCGATGATGACCCGAGGCCAGATCCCTTGAGGATGTCCCCCAGATCTTTGCAGATCCCCCCCTGCGCTCATTAAGGATCTCCTCCTCCTCCTCCTCCTCCTCTGCAGAGCAGCGCAGTGCGATGCAAAGCAATGCAATGCAAAGTAAGCATCACGATGAAAGCAGCATGGTACAATGCGACGCCAAGCAAGTCAAAGTAAAGCAAAACAAGACTGCAATTCTAGACGCTTCCTGTGACCCCACCAGCCCATCCAGAAAGCCTGCTGTGCCGCTGGGTGCCCTCGTGGCGCCCCAGGAAAACAGGCGGGTTGGCAGCCCGATCGTCACCACAGCTCGACGGGGCTGTGGGAGAGACTCTTGCCCTGTGGTTGGCCAGCCACAGTAGGTGCGGGCCCGCCGTACCACCCCTGAGAGGCCCGATGGGGTTACTCGAAGGGGTCCCCCGACGTGGGGGGCGCGGGAACTTCAGTCTTTGGGCAGCGGGGCCTCCGCTGCTTGAGGCCGGCGGGAAGGTGGGGGTGGTGCCGGTGGCCGTGTCTCGGGGTGGCATCTCGAGGCGCCTCGCAGCGGCGGCGCAGATGTGACGCCTGGGGCGGGTCTGTGCCGCCGTTCGTGTTGCGAGGTCCGACTGCATGCGAATTCATGCAGGCACCTTGGGCACCTCCCTTCGGGTTGTCGCCCAGGTGTTCTGTCCGGGCACAAGAAACATCCAAAAAGCCGGGGCGAGTTGCATTGATCAGGGAAGTGTAGGAACATGCGGTAATATGGCAGCTGTCAAACCGAAGTTCTGGGTCAACCCGAGCAGACCCAGCAGTGAACCGCATACGCAGTCGTGGCCCTGTCGAATGTGGAGGTGGAGGAGGAAGGATGAGGATCATGCGGGGGGGGGCGAAGAGTAAAAGGATCAAGAGGAAGAGGAGAACAAAGAATGAGGAGGAGGAGGAGGAGGAAGAGGAAGTCGAGCAGGAGGAAGATGAGTCTGGTGGAGCACGTTCCCACTCAACTTCTGGTGAACCATGGGCGGAAGGAAGAGGAGGAAGATGAGGAGGATGGGGGGGATAAGGAGTAGGACATTAAGGAAAAAGGATGATTACGTGGGAGGAAGGGGAGGAGCAGGAGGAGAAGGATGGAGGTGAAAGAATGCGACAGCCACGACGACAGCGATTCAGCCACAAAGACGTTTTCGGATCTTTCGCTATGGGGGTTTCTTGGAGCCACCTTAAGGTTGTGTTGGAGGCATTTTGTGCTATATCGGGTTTTTTGGGGGCCCTCTCGAGGGCCTTTCGGTCCATATTGGAGGCCATCGAGCAACAATGAGGGTCGACGCAGATTTGCATTGCCCGTCTTGGGCCCGAAAAGTCATACTTCTTGAGGCCGTCCTGGAGCGGTCTTGGGCTCTTGGGCAGTATTGGGGTCATTTTGGAGACATTGCGAGGCTCTCGTTGGTTAAGTCGGAGCCATTTTGATGCATCAGAGGCTTACTCGAAGCGAAGAGTCGAGAATGCGAAAACCATTGGTTCCCTTCATTGACTGAAGGATTTTGATTCCTTTGGGGCATCATTGAGAGGCCCCGTGGCCACTCGGAACCGTCTTGGGGGGTCTTGTGGCATCGTGGAGGCAGCGTGGAAGCCGCCGTGATCAATCTTGGACTCTCGCATGCCACCTTAGAGTTCATATAGGGCTCTCTGGGGCCATATTGGGCCAGCATTGTACCAAAGAGGCGTTCCAACACCTCCACGCCCCGCCCCCGCCTCCGTCCAGACCCATGGGAGGGGACAGGGGGAGGGGTCAAGACTCCCTCCCCGCCCGCAAGCCGTCTCGCTCACTCCCACCCGCCCTCCCAACACATGCGTAGCACCCGGGTCTGGCCCGAGCCTCAGCATATTCAGTTGTCGTCGCCTGGGGGAGGGGGTGTGTACTAATAGGAAGCAGTGGTCAAGACACCTCCGCCCACAGGGCACAAACTGTCTCGCTCACTCCCACCCGCCCTCCCAGCACAAACGTGGCACCCGAGCACCCCCGAGAAAAACCACTGCAGAGTGGTCGCGGGGCGCCCGCACGTGCTCCAGATTCGGAGGCCGAGCGCATGATGCATCGTAGCCTGCAACGGATGGCTGGCCTGCGCGCGGGAAAAACATCAAGATTCCATGCAAAAAATATCAAACTATCAAGAACCCAGGTGAATATCAAGAATATCTATATATATATATATATATACAATGTACATATCGATAATAATAATAATACTATTTCAAATGAATGTATAGATATATAAACAAAGAACAAAACAAAGCAAAACAAACAAAAAAAAGAAGAAACAACAAAAAAAAAAAAAAAAAAAAAAAAAAAACGAGGGTACCCCTGCCGTCCCTGTCCTGTCAAGAGCCCATGCAAAGAGGTCGCGGGGCGTCCGGCATGCTCCAAATTTGGAGGCGAAGTACTTTTGGCGCTGCTGTTTGAAATGGATGGCTGGCTTGCGCGAAGCAATCAATAGGAGGGCACCCCCGCCGTCCCTGTCGAAAACCACGCATAGTGGTCGCGGGGCGCCCGCGCATGCTCAAGATTCGGAGGCAAAGTTTACTTGTCATTGCTTTTTACAAGGATGGCTGGCTTGTGCGCAGCGAGCAATCTGAGGGCACCCACGGCAAAAACACGTGCAAAGTGGGCGCGGGGCGCCCACGCGTGCGCCAGGTTTGGAGGCGAAGAGTATTTTATAAGGTGTTTGGACAGGTATGGTGGAGGGGGCTCGTCATTGGTTCGGGTTGGCTGCCGGTCGGGTGGGCAGGGGGCACGAATAGGGAACAGTGATCAAGGTGCTACCCTCCCGAAGGACGGCCGTCTCGCTCATTCCCACCCGCCATTCCACCACATGATTTAGCACCCGAGTCTCGGCATTGGCAAGAGTCGCCATTGGATGGACAGCCAGTGGGAACCAGAACGACGCCAAGTGCGTAACGTTCGTGAGGTGCGCCGCGCGTGCCAGGTGCGCCAGGCGCCCCAGAGATCCAAGCGTGCGAGGTGCGACTGGTGCGCTAGATGCGCCACGGGCTCCACATTCGCCAGGTGTGCCGCGTACTCCACTCTCGCCAGGTGCGCCACGTACGCGGCGCGCGCAGAGTGTGCCAGGTGCGCCAGTGCACGTGACAGCACGCGTCGGGAAGCACGTCGACCCCCCCGCCATCCCCCCACCTTCCTCGCCAGAATCAGACACGAAGCGGCGGCGTGATGGTCAGCACGGCACAACGCGCGTGCACCCACCAGCGTGTCGGTTTCTGACAGGGGTGATGGGCTCGCACACACCACACAACGCACGCGTGCTCTCCTGATCACCCCTACCCGATAACAATGCAAGGTGATCAGCGGGGCGCCCGCGCACGGTCCCAGATTTTGCCGCCGCGTGCACTCTGCTTGTTGTTGCTGATAGGGCTGGTGGGCCTGCGCACGCGGGGCCATACCTTGGCACACCCGCCGACCCTGCCCGAACAAGGTGTAGAGAGATCGCGGGGCGCCCAGGCGTGATCCAGATGTTGCCGCGGAGTGCATGTTGATGCGTTGCTTACAGGGCTGGTGACGGGGACGACATTAATCTTAGTCCGGGGCCAGGCGAGTGGGGCTGGGGGCATCTGTGAATCAGGGGCTGTGATACCCGAAGGGGAGGAAGTGGGTGGGAGGAGGAAACGCCTCAGGCCACACTTGCCCCAAAGGGCCGATGGGAACCAAAGAGACGTAAGAGAGACGAAACAGTTCAAAGCAAGCTGGCAACACATTGCACTACACCGTACCGCGGATAAGACAACTTGAAAGCATAGCGGAACAAAGCAGCGCTGCCACATGCGCCACATTATGTTTATTTTCAGTTTTGACTTAGCAATCGTGTATTCATGTTCAATGTGTCGCTTGGCTTTCGCTTAGCCTGTCTCGAGCATATCTTCAAGCAAGGAAAACTTCTCGTTGGGGTCGCGCCGGGTTCGCGAGCACACCCATTTGTCCTTGCGCTTCATCTGTTTGGTGTGCTCCTTCGGAGAGCAGCCTCGCAATTGCGGCTGCACGCCGCTCGAAAAAGATGTTTGGACGTTGCCTAGGATGAGCACGTGGATTGATTTCGGGCATGAAAACGGAAAATTGCACAGAAGGCACATCGAATAAGCAATCGGCTTGCCAGCAGGTGCCCCACGGAAATTTGGGATCCCCAAGGGCCCCAGGGGATCCGCAGCAGCCCTGGGGCGTCTTCGGACCCCCAAAGTTCGACGAGAGATGTGCCCCCATATTCTGCACAGCCAGATGTCTCATCGCGTGCCTCCAGGGTGCCCTGGGTCTCTTGGGTTTCGATGGCTCTGCGGTGGAAGGCGCGACGTTCCCACACCAAAAAAAACCATGGACGTCCTGGGGTCTCAGGGTTGGGTTTCTTGTGGAAGGTCTCTTGTGAACTGGCCTCCACTTGTGGGAAGTTTCTTGTGGACTGGCTTCCACCGTACTCAGAGGTGCATGTGAGCAGGTGGGGCTGAGGGGCGCCGGCCTCGCCAGGTTTGGTCGCTTGGCATCTCAAGGTGGCCGCTCTCCCGGGCCACGCTACGCTTCAGTCGGGCCTGTCCTTCTGTAGGAGGAATATTCAAAAATAGCAAAAAAAAAATAGCCTGGAGACGATTCTTTGATCATTGTTGGACTATTTGGGGGCATGTTTTGACTAGTCTTTATTTTCCTTCCTAAATCCGCTTGTAGGGGGACATGCCCGACCTAACGCTATGCAGGGCGCTCACTATTCAGCCCAGCAGTCGTGTGCCTCGGGTCGCGTGACACTACCTCTCAGGTCGCACAAAACGTGTCGCGTACCACGGCCGCTCGAGTCACGTCCTGTGGGCTCGTGTCGTGTCGGCGCGGCGGCGACCTCGCCGCGGGAGGGAGTTCAAGGCTGAACGCCGCCAGTGACCTAGATCGGCCCATGTGGAACGATCTGGCGACCAGGAAGCCATCGATCGTTCAAGGTTGCACGATCCACGCGCTGTCAGAAACCAACCAACGCTGTGGTCGTTACGACACGAACCCGCAGGTCGCGTGCCACAGCCGCTCAAGTCGCGCACCACAGGTCGCGTACCACAGCCGCCCAGGTCGCGTCCTACATTCACGCGAGGGAAACTCACCCCAACCCGCATAGTTGGCGTTTACTAAACGCCCTAGGTGTTTACTGAACAGTCCTGCCCTGTTCGATTATTCCCATACGTGCGTTTACCGAACGGCTTCTCATGAGTGTGGCCCTTCTGCCCACTGCACGCCGCATGCACTGTTGAAACAAAAATCCTCCCTTCGGTGCTCGCTGTGCCGGCGATCGCGCCACAACTCCCCAGCATGGTGGACATCGCCCCCGACGCCATGACCCTGGCAGTGGAGCTGCACCGAGAGCTGCCCGCGGCGACCAGGGCGCTGGCGCGCGAGGACGCCAGGGCTGCGGCTCGGGGAGGAGGACGAAAAGGAGGAGGAGGAGGAGGAGGAGGAGGAGGAGGAGGAGGAGGAGGACCCCCAGCTCCTCGCGCTCCGTGAACCACAAAAAAAGGAAACGACGGTAGGTGTTGCTCAATTGGCGGCCCCGGGGGGCTCTCGCTGGGCCCTGGGACCGTCAAACAACGAGTCTGGATGAAAACCGGTCCTGGAGAAAAGTTCCAGATCTCTGGCGGTCCACGTTGTGGACAACGAATGCGACGTCGGAGTTCTGCGGAAAACGGGAATACGGGGTTCTCGCCTCATCAGGGCCCATTCCGATTCGATTCGGATTCTGGTTGGACCGATCATGTTCGATGCCGATATTCCGACGATCCGATGCGGCCCGATGTTTGCATGGCATTGTTATGCATCTCGGCGCAGCCGATCCGATTCGATTTCGACTCCGTGCCGATTCGGTCCGATCCGATCCGGTCGATGTTTGCTTCGATGTTCACGGATCCAGTCTTATGAAAGAGCGCGTTCTGTGATCGCTTGGAGGGGGGGGGGAATACGACCCCTCCCCCCCACCTCTCCTCTCTCCCTCTCCTCGGCTGGCGGCGGCGGCGGCGGGGACGACGATTTCCTTTTCTGGGCCGGCGTCGGCGCCTGCGGCGGCGGGCGGCGGCGGCGGGGAGCGTCGACGAGGACGACGGTGGTGGTGGTGGTGGTGGTGGTGGTGGGTTGTGGTGGAGGTGGTGGCGGTGCTGGTGGTGGCGGTGGTGGTGGTTGTGGTGGTGGTGTGGTGGTTTGTTGTGGTGGTGGTGGTGTGTGGTGGTGGTCGTGGTGGTGTTGGTGGTGGTGGTGGTGATGGTGTGGTGGGTGGTGGGTGGTGGGTGGTGGTGGGTGGTGGGTGGGTGGGTGGTGGGTGGTGGGTGGTGGGTGGTGGGTGGTGGGTGGTGGGTGGTGGGGGTGGTGGTGGTGGGTGGTGGGTGGTGGGTGGTGGGTGGTGGGTGGTGGGTGGTGGGTGGTGGGTGGTGGGTGGTGGGTGGTGGGTGGTGGTGGTGGGTGGTGGGTGGGTGGGTGGGGGGTGGGTGGGTGGGTGGGTGGGTGGGTGGGTGGGGGTGGTGGGTGGGTGGGTGGGTGGTGGGTGGGTGGGGTGGGTGGGTGGGGGTGGTGGTGGGTGGTGGGTGGGTGGGTGGGGGGTGGTGGGTGTGGGGTGGTGGGGGGTGGTGTGGGTTGGGTGGGTGGGTGGGTGGGTGGGTGGGTGGGGGGTGGGTGGTGGGGTGGTTGGGTGGGTGGGTGGGGGTGGGTGGGTGGGTGGGTGGGTGGTGGGTGGGTGGGTGGGTGGGTGGGTGGGTGGTGTGGGTGGGTGGGTGGGTGGTGGGTGGGGTGGTGGTGGTGTGGTGGTGTGGTGGTGGTGTGGTGGTGGTGGTGTGGTGGTGGTGTGGTGGTGGTGGTGGTGGTTTGGTGGTGGTGTGGTGGTGGTTTGTGGTGGTGGTGGTGGTGGTGGTTTGTGGTGGTGGCGGTGGTTTGTGGTGGTGGTGGTGGTGGCGGTGGTGGTGGTGGTGGTATGGTGGTTTGTGGTGGTTGTGGTGGTGGGTTGTGCGGCTGGTAGTGGTGGTGGTTGTGGCGCTGGTGGTGGTGGCGTGGTAGATTGTGGTGGTGGTGGTGGGCTTTTGTGGTGGTGGTGATGGTGAGTTGTAGTGGTGGTGGTGGTGGTGGTGATGGTGGCTGTGGTGTTGGTGGTGGTGGTTGTGTGGTGGGTTGGTGGCGGTGGTGGTGGTGGGTTGAGGCGGTGGTGGTGGTGGTTGTGGTGGTGGCGGTGGTGGTAGCGGTGGTTATCGTCGCTGCGTCCCCGCCGTCGCCGGCGCTGCTGGCCGCCGCCAGCGCCGGGGCCAGCGCCAGGAGGTGAGGGAGGGGGGTTTGAATCCCCCCCCCGCCTTGGCGCCGGGTCACATGGACGCCCACGCGATTCTCACACCACCGCAGGAAGGCGTGCGCTTGCAGCACCGAAATGAAGTTGGGTAGAACACGCACGATACGGTGCGGGCGTTGGTTTAGGAAGGTGCCCAGGAGGCTGCAGACCCTGGAGGATTCCTTATCTGATGAGGGCGGCGATGAGATCCATGGCACATTCACTGTTGGGCTCCCACAGGCTTCCAGACCCTGGATTCCTTTTCTAATTGTTCCTTATCCAATGCCCTCCCCGTCCGTAGCCATTTGGGCTCAAGGTATGATGTTTGGGGGGCTGCAAGCTTCCCGAACTCGCTTTCATCCCTCTCGCGAGCGCTGGCCCGCCCCAGCGTCTCGCGTGCCTGACACCCAGGTCGGCGCAGTTTTGAGCACGGCCAGGCCGAGCGCTGGCCGCGCGCAGCAGCCGTGGGCAAGCAGGCAGATCATGGCTTCATCATATGCGCGAGGTGCTCGTACAAGTGGACGTTGCGTGGCCGCTCGACGCGCGTCCAGTGCGGGAAGGGGTTCGAGCTCGAGGCCCCTCGCCCGTGGCGCGCGGAGCCCCAGGGTGCGCGGCAGCAAGGCCCTGGCACCGATAAGGAGACGGACGGCGACTGGCACGACTGGGAGTCCTGGCCGAAGAGTCGGCGATCTCGGAAGAAGGCTGGCGCGAAAGACGAGGAGACCAAGCCGTCGCGGCCCGCCAGCGAGGAGGCCCTCGCTGCGCTGCTGGAGACGGCTCCGCACCTCGTGGGGGACTCCGCGATCGCCGAGATCAAGGGTAAGCTCCCTCCGCGCCTCCGCCTGCGCAGCCGCGCGACCCGAACCACGAGTACCAGCACCAGCGCGCGCTCGAGCGGAAGGCCAAGCTCCGCCTCCAGAAGTGCGCAGGGTCGGAGAAGAAGCGCCACGACTGGCACGCAAAGGCCCAGCCGGCAAGCCAGGAGGCTGCACGCGGGGTGGCGCAAGCCAAGAAAGGCGCCGAGGATGCGCTGCTGGCCCTCCAGCGTGAGCGCGGCCATCAGCAGGCAGGTCCACCCCAGCCCGCGGGCGCGTCCGCGTCGAAGCCTGCGGCGGCCTTCAACCGCAGCACTCTCCTCGAGTCCGACGACTTCCACTTCGAGGCTGGGCCCGCCTTCGACGCGGAGGGGCTGGGCCTCGACAGCTCGGAGGTGGAGGCGCCGCAGGCGCTCCAGGCCAGGTTCGCGAAGGACCCCAAGGCGAAGGTTGCGGAGCTCTTCGGCGAGGCGGCCAGCAACCTCGGCCAGCGCCGCGCAGAGGCAGCCGCGACGCGCGAACACCTCAAGGGGAAGCGGCAGCGGCGCGCCGAGGCCAGCGGCGAAGCTGCGGCTGCAGGGGCAGGGGGGGCGCGGCGCGGGCACCTGGCCCAGCGCTCGCAGCACCTGCTGCAGAAGCGCCCCCCCCCCCCCCCCCCCCCCCCGCAGCAGCCAGCGCTGCAACGCCAGCCAGCCCAGGAACAGCGGCTGCGACGGATGCTGCGGGCCCTGCTGACGGCGCCCCGGGGCTTGTCTCTGCTGCGCCTGATAGCATCGACGAGCAGGCACAACGGGAGCTTCAGCAGGCACGCGAAGCTCGAGACCAGCTGAGTATTTGACAGTGCTGAAGGCCAGGCCACGGCGGTCATCAGCCAGCGCGCAGACCCGCCAACTTGGGGATCGGCTTCCGCGGCCAATCAGAAGTCCTGGGACCACAACGTAGCGGACCTCGACTGGGACCTGCCCTTCTCCGCGCTGTCGCTCTTGGAGGCAGCCGCTCGCCCCCCGCCAGGCTCGCTGGCCCCACCGGCCCTTCGGCGGCTACCAGGTCGACACCAGGCAGGCGTGGAAGACGGGACGGAGGCACCAGGGCTTCGGGAGCGCGGCTTCGCCACCCCTAGCAGCCTCGGCCACGGACGCGAGGAGCAGATCTGGGAGGACAAGCTCACGGACATGGCCGCGAAGTGGATCAGCCACCTCGCAGATCCTGAGGCGTCGGCAGCGACACGGCGGACCAACTGCATCGAGTACGTCATGCTGGGCAGGCGCTGCAACCTGGAGGAGGCCGAAGGCTTCTGCGAGAGGGCCCGGCGCCGAGCGGGGCCCCAGGACGGCGACGCTGCTCCACCTGGACAGGCTCGGAGCGGTTCTCGACCCAGAGCTCGCAGCCTGGAGACGCAAGGTCAACAGGATCGGGGATTCTGCGGGCGAGGTCGAGCAGGAATTTCGCCGGCTCGTGCCCCCCCAGCAGGGTTCAATGAGAAAAGGACTACTACGACGACGTCGGCTTCGCGCAGCTCTCCCTGAGCGGTGCCCCAATGGGCAGGGGGGACAGAGATTCGCCCTCATGCTCTACATCTTCACGCTCGAGTTCGACTTCGTTGGCTCGAGATGGTCAGGACCGACCTCGGCGTGCTCCTCGAGCGCCGAGGCCCCTCGCGTCGCCACTGCTGGACGCCGCGCCAGCGAACTGTCAGATCGATACTCAGCGGATTCGATCTGGTCAGGACGGACCTCGGTGTGCTCCTCGAGCGCCGAGGCTGCTCGCGTCGCCGCAGCTGAACGCACCGCCAGAGAAAGGTCAGAACGAACGTCAGCCAGCTCGAAATGGCCAGGACGGACCTCGGCGCGCCCCTCGAGCGCCGAGGCCTCCCACGTCGCCACGACAGCCAGACGCGACAGAGATGGCACCAGAGACGACAACACACGTCATCAGCTTGTCAGAGATGACGAGTGCCCCCACAGTCGGCCCCGTCAGCATCGCGGCGATCAACGGATCCATTCGGGCAGCAGCGCAGGCACCGGTTGAGCAACTCATCGACGACAGCGGCAAGGACGACATCCGCTCTACATCTCCACGCTCGAGCTCGTCCTCGTTTGCTCGAGATGGTCAGGACGGACCTCGGCGTGCTCCTCGACGCCGAGGCTCCTCGCGTCGCCACTGCTGGACGCCGCGCCAGCGCAATGTCAGGACGATAGTCAACAGACTCGAAATGGTCAGGACGGGCCTTGGCGCGCTCCTCCAGCGCCGAGGCTGCTCGCGTCGCCACAGCTGAACGCACCGCC